GCATGCGAATGAGGCACGTTACGATGCTTGAACAGCGGAAATGCGACAGCTGCCTGCATGTTGCGCCAACACGCGCGAAAACCGCAAGTGCAATAATGACACATCAAACACTTAGAGATCGCATGTTGGCGCAATGTACAAGCCGTCAACATAAATTGACGGCTTCATATATGAAGCTGCAATCCGTGCATCATGTGCCATATATGTCGCTTGAAAGCGAAGAAAGGCAGAACACTCGCAGTAAACATGTACAGGTTGGCGGAATTCATGGCGCCCACTGTGGACCAAATTAACACATCCAAGTTATACTGCAATCGGTGCACCATGTGCGTCACATACATCTCTCCGCAGCGAAGAAAGAAAAATTCTGGCATAAAATATGCGCAGGTTTCCGGAGTTTATGGCGTCCACCATGGATCAAATGAATAAGTCCAAGTTGTACTTGCGATTGCCTCCGGGAGGACCTCCGCCAGAAGTCCTGCACTACTTCCGACCCGTCCCGCGACGGGCTCGCGCACAGGATTCAGAGGACTTCCACGACACCAGCCTCTTTGAAATTACCAAGAACACACTGTTCAAGGGCAAGCGGATGATAAATTCCCAGGTTTGTAAATGCCTCTCCTTGAGACGTACGAACTGCGCCATGCGAAATGTTCAATTCGGAAGCACAGCGCCGTGTCGGACGCAGAGAAAATCCAGACCTCGGGCAGCGGCGTCGCCGGCAGCGTCGACGCGATCCCTGGCGACGTCGCCGAAAGGGATAGGGAGCTCCCTACCAAGAAAAGGACCAAACAGCACTTTTGGGAACACACATGAAACACATTTCATCAAAGTTATGCACGCTAAGAGCACAAAATTGCCGAAGCCCGTAAACTTTGTGCACGTTTGAACACGCGCTATTGGGCCCTCTTGTTCCTGGTGGAGGATGGCTGGGCGTCCGCATCGTCGGCGGGATTGTCACAAGTGGGGGTGGGGGGTAGGTCGCCGGGGCCGTCGACCGTGTCGAGAAGGCTCTCAGTCACCGGGCGGCGACGTCCCACCCGGGTGACGGGGAATTCCGGCGACGTCGTTCGAGGTTGAGAGTTTAGGGCGGGTGGACAAGGGTTCTGTCGCTGCCGTTCAGGGAATAAGGACGATAATAAGGCAACATTGATGTCCTTTGCAGCACGGAAATTCTGGGTACATTTCTAAGCAGTCCTGCATTAACGACCATGCACGAACATGTTGTAAACAACAGTGGCGATGACGTTGACGTCCTTAGCAGCTAGTGGGGTCTCCTATCACTACGTAGTGATAGTATATGTATACGCTCATTCCCTTGATGTTAAAGGGCGAACAGTGGAAAAGAATTCCTGGCCCGTTAACGTCAATGGAGCAAGGGGCATCAAAGCAGATGGGCGCTGAGGCGCGAGGGCTGCCGCTGAAATGAATGACAGGGCAGCAGCAAAGTCGTTGTGTCAATGGACGTCAACTCTGCGCCATTGCTATCATTATTTTTGATGGAAATTTACTGTGCAGAGACAGCAAGCAATGGATAGACCATCGCCTCATCGCGATCACCCCATGAACACCCACACATGCCAATATCATCCAATTACATCCTGATATAAATTGCAAAGTCCATCTCCTTGAATGGCTGGATTGATCCAAGATGTTCAAAAGCCTTTGGGTCTTTGTGATGTGTCTGTCCACTTTATGGCGTTGTATTGTAATTGAAGTACTGGCTTAAGCGCCAATTCGTCCATTATTGGCAAATGTGATTATTATCGGCGCAGAGGAATTACCAGCTTTCCCGAGCGAGGCACGAGCCACAATTTTTGCAGGGAATTTGACCTACGGCTGCAGTCCACAGATTGTCGTGGTGGGAGCCTCAGAATGTGGCTTGTCTACAATAGAGCACCTCCTTATGCTGCAAGACATGTACTTCACTTCCATCGTGCTCATCGCTCCCGACGATCCCTTGGAACAGAAGCTCAGCGGTGGTCTGAATGCTCTGCAAGCCGCCCAGCGAAGGGTTCGGTCCAGAATAAAGGTCGTGGAAGGGGAGGTGGTGGATTTGGATAGGGAAAGGAGGGTGGTGGGGCTGTCCTCGGGTCAAGAACTGGTGTACGACTATCTTCTTATCACCGCCGGACTTCAGGTGAGAGAACGGAATAAGCGCGATGAGTCGTCGCAAGGATGTCCCGCGCCTGCACTCTTGGATGTGGGAAAACGGTGATGAAAGGACCTCACGGTTTTCCGCGTCCAGGACAGCGAAATTGCGGAATTTAGTTAGCGTACATGCTGTGCGTAGCTCGGATGTGTACTTCACCGAGTTCCTATTGCTGAATCAGAAAGGTTCAGATCCCATACCTTGAGGTTACCGCAAGGCCGGCCATCTGTCGCCCTGCGGGTGCTGACACCCGTGCAAAAGCCGCCAAGCGGCTTCAAGCCCCTGGTCGCGAGCACGGATCGCCAGCACATTCTGCCCATGGTCCACCAGCATCATGCATCAGCGGGTACTGGTGAACACCGAGGAAACCGTGAGCTTAGAAAGAAGTCCTCTCAGTCTAAGATCGGGGCACACCACATTTTCTGAGGGTCTCAGAGAACGTGGTGTGCTCCGTTCTCAACATTTTGCATAATCTCGAATGCATTGCGGGGATTAAAACATTTGAAATAATGCAGTGCCTCAACGCGTTCAGCGTGACCACAACCGAGGTGTCAACGCAGTTAGAACAACGAATGCAAGATGTGCTCCAGCTCAGGGTTTGTTCAAACATCAGCAGATGTGAAACTCTTACCTCTGTTGATGATCAAACATGTTTTGCACGTTTTAAGTTGCTAAACGGCCAAAATCTTGCCATTGGGACGGCTCCTCATTGACAGCCCCATCCTGTGCACCGAACGAGAGCGCAGGAGCAGACGCGCCGCTACCTCCAGCAGACGTCCCGCGCCGACTTCGACTCAGTCGTCACACTCCCCGCCCTGCGCGTCGGCGCCTACCCCCAGGAGCACCAGCCACGGTGCGCCGTGGTCTACGGCGCCACGCTGCAGGCGTACGAGGCGCTGAGCGTCCTTCAGGACAAGCGCCAGGCGGGGCTGGACATAAGGCACGTCGTCCCGGAGGGGCAGGATGCGGGGATGGCGGCGTGCGCGCGGGAGGCGGCCAGCAAGGTAGGCGCGCCGCTGGTCCAGCCCGAGGTCATGAGCCTGGTGGAGGTGGAGGAAGTGCAGGACGAGGAGGTGGAGTGCCTGTTCGAGGTGGGAGGAGCTGGGCAGGTGGTCCCGACGCAAGGCCGTTTCGAGTGGAGCAATTCTGGGTTCATGCGTTGCGAGTCTGGCTCGAAATGCGGGGGCGGATAATCGCCGGTGCTTCGGGCAAAGCGACATTTATTTGGGCTCGCACGCATTCTAGGCCCATTCACCTATTAGCTCATTCGCCTTTTGGGCTCACACGAATTATAAAGCTTGGAACAGAGGATGGAAAGGCCAAGAATCCAAGACATGGCAATTGTCCAAGCATGCTTTCGAGAGGGTCGGGAGTAAGTAGTGCCCGCAGTGGAATGCTAGGTTCGAATTGCAGGAAGAATTGTAGGATGTTGCACAGCGGATAACCATAGTACAGTGTGATCAACGGCATTTTGAAGCATCGTATCGGGCAAAGGGCCGCAAGTCATGTCTCCACGGCATGCTCATCATTTGGAAATTGCAAGAATTACTAAGAAGTAGTTAAGACCTCAGTTCGCCAACAATTGAAATTTGATTACCATTCCATACACTAGAACTTTGCTACTTTACACAGTACTGTTCAATAGAGCTGTATGATATAATTAATTCAGAATCCATTCGAAATAGCTCAATCAAACTCTGGATTGTTGACATTACACCACACGTCGCAATTGGCCAGTCGATGCCTTCTTGATAAGGAATATACCGCTGTCCTCCATAAGCATTCTGACTGGCAAACGCGGTGTCAGGTGAACGACCAGCCACTGCAGCCCTTCGCGGAAAAAAACATCTGGGTTATTTCCGCTGGCTGTATTGCTGAAGCAGTTGAAAAAGCCACTGAGGTTTAGAATTCGGGATAGAGTTGCAGCAACATTGACGGGCCTTGATGTAACGACTTTGTTGATGCGCTGCGTGCCAATGATGCTGCAATATCCATGCAGCGATGTGTTACACACAAAGACGGTCGCAATTTGGTGAACTTGGCGATTGACAGGGGGTTACTGTTCAAGCCCCGTCGACGGGTGATAACGTCATCATCAAACTTTGATGATCAAATGCATCCGGGGAAAATTCCAATGGGACGTTGATGCCCGAGGCTCGCAGCGGCGTTGACAGGGAGCGCATCAACAAATTCGCTGCAGCAAGGCACATCAACGTTGCTGCAGTTTTGTACTGATTACTGGATGTCACTAAGACCGTGCTTCAATAGAGCGCTCCTTGAGTGGAACGATATTGCTTGTTGGATGGAGCGGCTCTTTCTTTGGACTTTAACTCATTATATGTGACACGCGATGTCAATTTTCACTGGTAAAAATTCGACCATTCTACGCGATGTGCAATCGTGTGAAGTCGCGTTAAATCGTGCAACAATCGGGTACTTCTGAGCACGACTTACACGATCGCTAAAATCGTGTAGTTTTCAGCCCTGACTGGTACACGAAAGTGTACACTTTAGCGCCATGGACGACACGATAAAGAACATGGTTTTACCCGATTTCAACCGTGTACCAGCGGCAGCCGTGTACTTTGTTATCAGTACACGATTGGTACACAATCCCTACGCGATTTTCACACCACTTTTGAACGCATAACATGGTATACGATTTCCAGGACCGTACACTTTGGCCGATTTTTTCCCAGCGTCTCGCACGGATATACACAACGTGGGCATGCTCCCGAGAGCGGCTGCCAGGATCTCGCCGCGGCACCACCGGGATGTCGTCGCTTAATGTCAGAATGGCAACGCTGTTGGCGTGACAAGAACATTCGTTTCCGCCACTGCACATCAAATGAGTCGGTGCTGCCAGGTAACGGATCCCGACGAAGACGGCGGCACGAGGACTTCAGTGGTGCGTTGCAACCTTCTGGTGGCCTGCGACGCGCCGGACGTCGACCCCGGCCTGTTCAGGTGCATCAACGGCAGCGGCCTCGTCTACGACGGTCGGCTGGTGGTGGACGCGCGGTTCAGGACCAACGACGACCGCATCTACGCCGCCGGCTCCATCGCCAAGTACTCGCGGGAGCTAGGGCGCACGGGGCTCCAACTGGGCAACTTCGACAGCAGGGAGGTGGGTCAGCGTACAAACCCGTTGAGTGTGGTTTTGTAAAGTGGGAAAATGTCATCCCTCTCGAGCGCTGCGCTGCTTTTCCATAGAACGACAGCCCTTGCATCCGGGCCGCGACGTCTGGAAAAAGTTGATTAAAAATGATGCGAGATTGCGCGAAGCGCATTGTTGATGCAATGCCGAATAAAGGCGCTGCAATGCCAGCGTGCCAACATTGATGCAACGTTGCCACACACAAACACACACATCAATGCTTGCAATTCTTGACGTATGGGCATTTGTCCAGTCATTGATCGGTATTGTGTTAATGGCAATGCAACCACAGAGTTGCATCAACGTCTAACCTTTCCGGATGGACGTCAGCCGCAGGTGCGTAAGCATGTCGCCCAAGATGTGATGGCCGTGCACCACATCGCCGAAATTCGCACTGCTTTCAATTTGTTGAATCAATTGCTGGTGTGCCGATCTATTGCTAGGTGGGCCAGCGCCTGGCAGCGTCCGTGGCCGGGCGCCTCAGGGGAGAGACGGACGTCGGGACATCTCTTCCGCGGATGGAGGAGCCGAAGTCAGCGGAGTGCACACTGCCGGGAGGGTGGTATTTCACTTACGCTGGCGTCCCTGAAGCTTACGAGAAGCCTTCCCTGCAGGAGTCCGAGGTATTTATGGGCGGCTTCCAACTCTGTTTCAGTCTGTATTGAGCAGTTCTTGTGCTATAGTTTTTGCCTTCGCAGTTGTGCAAGCGATGTAAATCTGGTAAATATCGTTTTGCGTCGAAGGCTCTGCAGGGATGCCCCTCTGAAACTTCGCCGCATCTTTGTTGTTGTGCCCGCAATGCGGTTCTCAACACGCACCCAAAGTGAAGATTTGCACCGCAATGTCCACCACAACTTCGCATGACATGTGGGCCTGTTTGTTTGGCTGACTGGCGCTGTTGAAATCATATTCAACTCTGGGCCGCGGTTCAGCTACCAGTGCCCCCATATGCGACATCTGTTTGTCAGAGTGCCAGTTCCCTGGGAACAAACACTTGCGAGTGCTAATATGCTATGTCGCATTGTGTGGTCTGCACTTGACAAGGTTGTCTTTTGGGCACGGTGTGGTCGAATGTGTTTCAAATCAATTTCGCCAGTTCATAGCCTGCTGGCTATTGGCCGAAATCTGGGTCACGCTTGCTTATACTTTCTGGGGGGCCAGGCCAGGTGTGTCAGGGAATGCTGCACGCAGCACTCCCAGTGGACCCCCATTTTCCCACGCACATGTGCAGGAGATGCGTACGCATTTTGGGCCAAACATTAACATCATGCGTTAATCATGACCAACACGTATCAACAGCACAACCTTTATCAGCCACGAGGCACGCCAATCTCATTGAATCCTCCTCGCCCATACGTCAAGTTTCCCATGCGCAATCACGACATCCGCACTACCTCCCCACACACCGATGTGTGATATCGCCCCCTCCTCACCCAACGCTGCGTCTGGCTCACCCGCAGGGCGGCAGGACGCTCTCCACGCAAACCCAGGGCGGCTACTTCCAACTCAGTATCGGCGCCGACAGGCTCGTGCGCTCGTGCCTGCGCGTCGGCAGGCAGCCATCGGCGCGCGACATGCTGCGCCGCATCGCGGGCCTGCCCGTGTCGTACCTCAACAACGTCGTCGAAAAGTACGACAGCGGCCAGGTGGCCGACTTGCTGGCGTTCCTGACCGAGGGCTGGGCGCAGGCCCTGTACCACGATCACTTCCCGGTGCTCCGGCGGGAGCTGCAGGGCCAGGTGCGCCAGCTGCAGGGCGGGCAGGGGGGCGTCAACGAGGTGGCGGTGGCGGCTGTGGCCAGGGAGGCGGTGCACAAGTTCGTGCAGGCGCACGCGGCGGAGCTCACAGCTTACCGGGACGTGTCGCTGGCGTCGTGAGGGACCTTAAGGGCCGAGCAGGCTTGCGAGAGAGAATTTTCCATTAAATTGGGCTCCCTTTTATGCAACCTTTCGACTTTGCAAGTCATGATCCGTCCATGGTATGTCCAGAGTGTACGTCCAGACTGAAGGCAACCCATGTATAATAGTCCGTGTCCAAAGTTCGCGCCCACCCTAGGTCTCCACGCAGACGTCATTGCCTGTATGCATAATAAACGAGCGCCCGCAACGCGATACACTGCATCGATCGCCGAGCAGCACGTGTGGTGAACAACAGATGTACTGGCAGGGGCGACAGCTGTTGTCACGCATGAAGTTGAAAGACATGCGCCTCGCCCCCCCTCTGGGTTCACACTACACATCCGTTCGGCGCATTATGAAATGGATAAGTTTGCGGCATGAATCTATACTTGACGTGGCAGCACTTGCTGAAACACTGTCGTAACCTTCACGCACCAATAGAATACAAACTGGCAATGGGGACCAACAAACGCTGTTACAACATCAATTTTGCGTCCCTACTCCGATCAGCCAATCCCATTCTCAGCCCCCGCACTACAGAGCGCAGGATGTGTGCAAGACCCCCCCCCCCCCTCCGATCCTCGACCAACAGGCTCCACAGCACGACGCGCCAACATCGCTTGCCCTTCGCTACGCCCCGATCTGCATAACAGCAGCAACCCCAATGCAGCAGGGCTCACATTCATCCCAACCCAATTGCGCCCCGTTACGACCTCTCCCTCATTCCTGCCCGCCACAGCGGCAGGGCGCTCGATCAATGTGCACAAGTGAAAAGCCGGCAGCATGCGTTTCTGGCCTGCTGGACAGGCAGCCGTTCATCCACGAGGGCGTCTCACACAACAGGTCCTCAGCCCCTCTACCTCCTCAGCTTGGTCCAGACGCTGCAGTGGCCGTCTTCTGAGGGCTTCTTCTTCAGTGTCACCACGACCTTGTTGGCGAGCTTCTTGTGGTAGCAGCCCTCAGGAACGATTTCCCCATCCAGCTCCGCCACGGACAGCTGCATCGTCCTGTTCTGCTTCACGCCGCGGATCTGGAGGTTCATGCTCTTCTCCGTGAAGCTGCTTTCGATCAAGTCGTCAGGGAGGTCGCCGACGCCTTCCATGGGCACATACACCTTCGCAACCTTGCTCCCATCCCTGAACTGGTAGCTGAACACTGCCTCCACTTGGTCCATCACCTGTGACGTCGAGCGGTGTATGACGCGGTGAACAGGGGCAGGGGCTGGCTCTTCACCTGTTGTCCTTCTCTGGTGCTGCACAAGCACGTGGTTGTTTGTCCGTCAGTATCAGAACCTTGGCGGGGGGTGTTTTTTGGTGGATGAGTACAGGCCCAAAACATCGACAAGAACAACAGCCCCATGCTGAACCATGCCCACTGATAGTGGCGAGAATTTTATGCACTGGGCATGCACACCAGAAGCAAGGACATTGGCCTCTACTTCACGGTGAGGGATGATGCACACAAAACTTTGACAGGCCAAGGCACACAAGCAACCAAAACAGAAACATGGTTCTTCTGTCCCACATCTATTTTCCTGTGCAAATTACGTGTATTCCTTCTCCATCGTAGAAACTTCAGCTTTCGTTGAACTCTATCCAAGTTGCAGCTAGCAGTTAAGAGTACATAGCCAGATGATCATGTGAGCACGTTCAGTACTGTGGGTTTGACAACACTTGTTTGTAAACGTCATCAGGCCAGCATACCTGCAATTTTAGCATTGCTGTAAAAATGGCAATTTTTCGAAAGGGTGAGAAGCACATGCCTTTGCAGCAGCAAAATAGACACACAAGGGCAGGGGGAGCCCAAATCCACAGCGATCTCCAGTGGACGTGCGGTGCATAAGCACTTTTTGGTTAAAGGCAACTATGGGGCTGCTCAGAGGGTATAATTCAGACTTCCTTTTCCTCCAAAACTGGTTGCTGAGGTTTGACGACTCAATATTTCCGATTGTGACCTCCTTCTCATTTCAGAGGCCCTGTCTGCAACGACATTTCGCTTTCCAGCACAAGATCATTTATTTGGGACAGAAGCAATTTAAGGCAGGCAAGCCACAACGACCACGAACAGTAATATCACATCCTTGTCAGAAGAGCTGAACAGACCAAAATTGGATAGATTTCTTTCAGCAAACTTCCTTAACCTTGCAAGCAACTAATGGGTGAAAGAGCTGTGCAGTGTCTAATTCCCTCAATATGGACTCGTGCTTCCGCAGTTTCGTGTGCAGTCTAATTTCCATCGCAGTTCATTGGTGCATCGAAGATAGCAATGAACCCTCACCGCATAGTAATACGAGTTCTCCTTTTTCGAGTCTAGGCTTGCATCCAGCGCTGATCTGCCGGTCTCCTCACTAACACTTAAAACACCATTATTTCAGAAAACAGCCGAGCGAGAGAGCTAAACAATCCAACAGCCGCAACTTGAACAGCAAACTGTGTGACTCAATAGCAATGCTGTGAGCTAATCAGTTGGTACCTGTGCCAATTGTTCAGCTTAAACCTTTCGGCACGAGCCCACAAAGGTTAAAGAGACTACGAACTGCACTGACCAGGCTTCCTCAAAGGAGAGCACTGCAGGCTAAGCTGCAGTTACTGCAAGCAGCAGCAGATGGAAACCAGAGGCGACAAGCTGATTCTCCGCACACTTTGGCCAGGTGGCTTTGGCTGGGTGGCATCGATTCGATTCCCATCAATTCCAATATGTTCCTAACTTCCCAGAACGCATTGAAATGATGCCCCCCATACCCTCCTGTCCTTCGTTCAGTCGCTGCCGTCAGCCGCGGAGAAGCATACACGGCCAAGTGAAACATCAAGTACTGGCACCCCTACCAGCCCGCCACAATTGAGGCCTACCTTGCAGGTGCCGTGCGTTTTGGTAGTTTTCCACAAATCCCAACAGCTCACTCATGGGCAACAGTGAGCACACAGCGTTCAGCCGATGAGGTGCCCTGCTGCTTGCCGAAGAGAGCGGGCGACTACAGAGCCAGAGCAGGCAATCCACGACACCGCGATGCGCCGCATACCGACGCACACGCGTCCCCGAACGCTGGCGTTCCCGAGAGCAAGGGACCTTGTGCCAGCCATCGCGACGGAAGCGTCACGCAGCCCACGGCCAGGGCAGCAGGGCCGCATCCCGCTTCGGGAATGCACTGAGCCAACACCGCAGCAGCGCGTTTTCCCTTCGAAAGGATCAAGGCAATCTGATGTGGCCGGTCGTCGCGGCGCGAGGGCATAGTAGCAGGGCGCGCAAGCACGTGAGGCCCTGCAAGATTTGCCAATCCGGGTTTCAATGCGACTCCCTGCTGGCGACGCCAAAACGTGACTGCGCCTCGCCAGGAGAGTTGACGACAAGTGGGATGTGGGCTGGGGTGTTCCATCGCTGATCGCGGCGAAAGACGGAGGCACGATTCCTGGTGGCTTGGAGCGCAGGGGAGTTTCTGGAGGGCCATTCGCTTCGCGCTGGGAGGTCACCTGGCCGTCATGCTATTCCAGCTCCTCAGCGCGGCTTGAGAGAGGCAAGGAGCCGCTGCCACAGACGCCACCCTCGGCGCACGAAATCCAGCTGCAAGGCCAAGGGCCGCTCCCAACGCCCGACTGCACTGAAAGAACGACCCTGCCCAGCAGCAAACTGCGCACGCTGGGAAGAAGGTGCCCGGCGCTGCACAACTTGTTTTCCTTCCCGGTTCTGTGCTGGGGATGATCGGTAGTTCTGTGACTCTGGCGGTTTGAGTGACAGTTCTTTGTCACAATAAACACATGATTGAGCGGCTGTTCAGCCACTGGGATGCACTGAGTTTGGTTGCATCGTAATGGACAAGGGACTATCCATTCTCGTCTCGGATCATTTGCACAAACATAAAGCCAATTGCTGATGTGCCAAGACTTCCCCCCGGAGTGTCGAATTTCTCTTTTCTTGAGACTGAGCATTCTTTGGCTTCGAGCAGTTTGGGGGCTTTATGCCGCCTTGCACGCTCTTGCTCAGCGGCACAAGGTCCACATACCTTGTGATAGGAGGGGGGAGGCACCTGGAGGCTGAATTGTGACGTTATTATTTTGGAATAAGAAAAGGGACTATCCATACAGCAAATGTGGTGTGGGCAGCTGTTGTGAGGCGACATCGAAGTTGTGGCAAATTGCAGGGACGCCAGGGACTCGTCCTGGCTGATTCGGGATCCTGTGCAGGCGGACCGCACCGACTGTCCAACTATCCGATTGTTGCATCTGACATTGGCCACATGTGGCTCCCAAAACCTGCTCAGTTGGGACCCATTAGTCCAAAGTAATATCAATCCTCAATATTTCGAGGCGTTCGCACGCCACAGCCACCAGCATATTGTGGATGTGGTGACCACAGACACTGTTTCATCCTAGGCTGGATGATTCACTTCTGGTATGCTCATCTTCTCGCCTGCAGGACTTCGCGTACAGGCACTCCTCCACTACCGCCTTTGTCGGGGACACGATGAAGCACCGCCCTTTCGCATGGGGAATGTTGAAACAGGCTGCAGGCTACAAGTGGACATCGTTGTGCGGTCATGCTGTGTGGTGCACTGCATCACACTGCTTGGCTGTCCACAGGCACAGAGAATGGATCCCTCATCGGCCTACATATCAACACTGACGCATTGACGTGACAAGCCATTGTGTGGTCCGCAGATTTATCCATGGATTAACCCTGGGCCAAAACTCCCCCGCTGCGCCACTGCCTGTCCACCGAAGAAAACCAAACAGGGCCATTCGCACCCGGCACCCAGGGTGTCCACCCAAGGCCACCACTCCACACATTCAATGCGTAGACTGTGTCACATAGCACAAGCCTGCCAGGCACTCACCTCAGTTGCCATGGTGTATTTATTTCACCCAACAGCATCTGATCAGTGGGCTTCGGGCAGAACCATGCGTTTTCAAAACGTTCCAATGCAGTGACGTCCCCCCACACACCTCCCCGTTCAACACATCCTTGTTCATGGCTTCCTGTCACGTTTGCAGCCAACAAAGACGTCCATGTGTAGCATTCACACACTTCTGCACCTACTCCTGCCGTCCCCAACCTCGCCCTCTCCAGACCTCTGATACCTACGGAACCTAGCTCCCACAAAATTTGGAAGGGCCACGAAGGGGCGGGCTATATATTTGCAGCCTCCACAGCAACGCCCCATATTTACTTGCCATGTGGCTTGCACGATACCGTCACGAAAACTACGATCCATCCACCTGATCCGATGGCATCGACAATTCTGGTTCATCTACAACTACAGTTAGAACAAGGTTCCCCATGCTCTGGTGTCTTCTCTGCCACCGATGGGAACCCCTCTGTGCACTTGACATGCGCACCTGATTATTGGCCTTTGACTCCGAACCCCAGCTTTGATGATACACCCCTGTCGCTGGACGCTGTGGCGCCGCAGGCCCCATATTAATTAATGAAATGTGCGGCTCGATGCAGCCACCAAATGGGTTGCCATCCCCATCGCACTCCGGATGCACGCCAGAGGGCACCTCAGAATGTGAGTCACTCCCTCTGTTGGTGCGTGGCTGCTCACTGGTCGGTATAGCTCTGCCGATGCCCCTCTCAGGCACGGACGTGTGTTCTGCATCCCGATTTCTCCAAGCATGATCGTGTGGTTCATTCCTGTTGGACGGGTCTGCCACCTGCCCGTCCGCCACAAATTGTGCACCGACGACAATTCCCTCTTCTTGGGGCCGTTGCAACAGCGAGTCCCCCTTATGCGAGACTGCACCGCTCTTCTTCTCCATGGCACCCCGTTTCGAGGCTGCCCTGAATTTCGCTGCTGCTGTCACAACCATGGCTTGAGTCATAATCTGTTTCTTTGCAGTGTGCCTCAGCGGCCCTCGCTTCTCATTGATTTCCTCCAAAATGTGTGTGTTGTTCGACAGCACACGGACGAATTCGTTCCAGCCACACAATCTCGCCAACCTGCCAGGGAAATGCTGTGCTTTGCCCTCATCTGGACTCGCCAATTCGTGTCCACCCTTGTCCCGAATCTGTCAGCACACAACATATCGGGACGGAGCTATAATGCGCATACTCCTATGGCTGCGACTTCCCAACCAAATTCGTTTCTCACAATGTTAGCCAATGTATTCGAAGGGCTGATATTGTCATCCCGCTTGTTTTGTGCAAAGCAACAGGAACAGAGTTCCAGAACTGCCCTGCCCCTTGCACAAAAAACTGATTGACTCTAAGGAGTCTTCAGTAAGAACTACACCAAGGGCACACTAATGACTGACTAAGAGTAAGAACTACACCAAGGGCACACTAATGACTGACTAAGAAACAAGGTGCAAGCAATGGTTGTTCGATAAGCTCCAAAAACTGGAGCATAGCCTGAACATGCTATGGATGTGCAAAATGTGCAAGTGATGGGCAAGGGATGAAACAACAAACTGCAAAACGTTCTGTACATTACACAATCTGTATGAATGAAGTATGAATGGCTCAACCTTGACCATTTTGCAAGCAGACAAGGCATGGCACGGCAGAAGAAGTCAGCACGGACTCCCCAGGTGATCACACACCTTCATCTCCATATCTTCTGCAGCACCGGGGAACTTCGCTGCTCTGTACATGTCAACCATGAACTCCCTGAAGAAAACCAGATCCTTCTCCTCCGCCATGGCCAGCCACTGTGCAAGGGGCGCCCGATCTCGCCAGTTCAGCACTCTGAATATGGGCGCGCTCTCGATGTTCTTCTTCAGATAAAAGTCGTTGTACAACTTGGTTGCAAAAGATTTGAAGTCATTTCGGGTGTCCTCATCCGCCACAGTCAGAAAGTCAATAAGCTCAGGGAACCTCTCCACCAGCTTGCGCCAGAATTTGGCCACAGGTTTCAGACTCAAGTAACTGGTCTCTGAGCGGTCAGCCATGTACTCTTTCAGCATGTCACTCAGCTTGTCCCAGCGCAGCAGCATTTCCTCGTCAGAGTCTTTCAGGGCCTTGTACACAAAGTTTGGGTTGAAAGTGCAAGTGAGCTCTCTGCTGACCTGCACAGGTAAGAGCTCAGATCGTCAGCAGGCAGTGGATTCGTGTGGTTGCGAGGTGAGCATGCCAGGGCCTGGTGGAAAGTGCACTGCCACGCATGTTTCCCTTCTTGCAGCAAATTCAGTTCTCCACAAGAATACTGTGCCCCATCAAGCGGGCTGGATCCCCTGTTCGGCTGTGTGGCAAAGCAACAGCAAAGCAATTTATCAAGAGCACAAGGCTGCGCTAGAAGCTGGCAATGAAGGTGACAATGTGTGGGCTTTTCACACGGATGTGCAGCGCAGATCCGATGATTTCATCAGAGTTGACAAGTCCTCCTCCCTTCTACAGTCTACCAGCAAGGGCCAACAAATGAACGCTATGTAGAATGAGATTCAGTCACCAAAGTGACAAGGATCCTTCAATAACGAACCCAACTATGGGGGTTTTGGATCATTAGCACAACTAAGAGCACACAACAAAGAGTGCTTACAGCACACCGTCACCTTGACAAAGATCAGCACAGTTCCAAACACAAAGCGGCTCGCAGCACAACGAAAACAAAGGCAACGGGTAACATCAGGCAGACCATGCTGCACACCTGGCTGGAGCGCGTTTTCCTTTCCCATCGCCCTGTGCCATCGGCATCCTCCTCAAAGACATCTTTGTTGAGGACCGCCCGGCAGTGCATGCGCCTGATCTCTAGAATCTCGACCTTCTTTTTCATCTCCCGAACAAATGTGTACACAAACACTGCTACCAACAGGAACAACCCCGAGAGCACAAACACCTCCAGAATGCCCTTGTTGGCGTTGGGGAGATTGTCAGCATAAAACATCAGCCCTCCAAAGCACTCGATCAAGAGGGAGATCAAGAGGATGCTGAACAGCCAATCCAAGTACCTGTCACCAGCACAACAAGTTCAATTCCAGCCCCGCCACAGGTCACTTGTTTAATACAGCTTTAACCAGCGCAGCCGGAGCAACAGCATAAAAAGCGTTGCACAAAAAGTCCACCACCAGGAGCAAAGTTCTGTGGCCTGTGGACACAAAAGGGCTTTGAGAAAATCTCATTGTCGTGGCATTCACTGCCTGACATCGCCAGCTTCCTGACAGGATTTGTGCTGCTACGTTGCAACAAGCATGTTATCCAAGAACTGATCCATCGATATAAGGTCAAAGAAGTGTACCCAGAGCTACGAACTGGATGCCATTGTCAGCACATAATTCTCAACAACCCCATCAGAACATATACATGCCACTGCATGCTGCAGGGAACGCACGTGTCAACGTATGGGGCGCTGTAGACGTGGAGCATGAGGGAGCATATGATGATGGCTGCCAGGAGCGCTACTTGGAATGCAGCATTGTGGACGAAGACGAGGACAAGGACAAACAGCACTCGGCGAACCAGGACCACTAGGCCAGTCCAGAAATATTCCAGCTCGTACCTGCACGGTACACCCAGGAAACTGTCAATCCACCCAGCAAGCCCCAGACTGTGTAAAGGAGCAAGCAATGAAGACCAGATTGAGGCAAACCACAAATTACGCAAAAGCAAAGCCACTCCGTTGGCACTGGTTCAAAGAACGGAGAGTCCACAAGTACATGCCTGACTAATTTGGGCACAATCACAGTGTCTGGCTTCACATACAGACAGTTGAGAGTGTGCCTGAAGCTATAGACATGCTCTTTGTGCAGCAGCATCACTTGCAGCTTTGTGCCATATGACTATCTGAGTCAATGTTCCGAGTGTTTTCTTGCTGTCGAGCACTTGATCACAAAACTCCCACCTGCGGTACAGGAAGCCATATCGGCGGAGGGCCACTGGATCTGCAAAGGCCTGCCTGCTGCGCAGTGATGACAGCCTCCAGGAGACCCACAGTGGGAAACCAATGACGTAAAACAGGATGCCTGCAGCAGCAAGGCCACGCACTACATTGTGCTTACTCGAGCCGCATTCGATCTCTGGACTAGCGCACAGGACCATGACGCCATGCACATCCCTGCACTTGAATGCATCGAAGCAGTACTTGGCGATTGTGATGTATGTGACCTCAATGGAAGAAAGGAAGGCTGCCACAGTCATGTCCCATTTTGCGTCCAGCTCAGCCTGACTCCGAGGCACCCTCTGGAGAAACTGAAACATGCGCAGAAACTGGTAGCGTTTGGTGTCCGGGTTCTTTGCCAGGAACTTGAGGAGGCTGGCCACAAGGTAGCCGATCAGGGCAAAGAAGCCCATGATGAAGGGCAGGCAGAGCTGCACAAAGAAGTTGTCTTCATAGCTCCAGTCGCTGTAGAAACATGTGGGCTCCATGATGTCCACATCGAAGTCCATCAAGTTTGCAACGCCAAAGACTATCTCCAGGGTAAGGGGCCAGCTGAGGTCCAAGTCTCCAATGACATTGGCAAGCTGCGCCCAGCTCAGCAGGATGTCCACTGAGGGAAGACTTTTTGAGATGACCACATTCAGCATGTACCAGCCAACAATGAGAAACACAAATAGCACCGTCAGGACACGCTTGGAGATGCACCTGAAACATCTGTCAAAGACGTAAAAGTAGCCCTTCTGACATGCGTCACACATCCTGTGCCAAACACAAGGAAAAGGGTGCATTCAGACGTAGGAATTTGTACATAAATGACCAGTATCTGCAGGTTCACAGTGTGTCTGAACTACACAGGTTGTACTGCAATTCAACAGCAGCTGCGGCGCAATGCAGGTCTGCACAATGCACTGTCAGGGAGTACACTGGCACCTGTTGCCAAGGCCAGTTGGCGTGAGCCATTTCTGCGATCGCATGTGAGGCTATGCTGGGCTGGGATCGACTTCACGTTGGGCAATACCATGCAGGGCCTGTGCTTAGGAACATCTGGATCTGAGGCATGTTCTTTGCATCTTGCTGCACAGGTGGTACACCCACACATTAAGAAAGCACGCATTTGTCTATGCGCACCACCAAGGAGAAGAACAGAGCACACTGTCATACAGCAGCTTTTGTCTTTTCACTGACTGTAACGTGCTGCATGCTGCTTCGCCACATATTCGCCAATTGCCCCACGTCCATTGTGTTCCCCCAGCAGCGTCCACAGACAAGGCAGATGTCTACTGCATACAATCTTGTACAGCTTTGTGTTTGGAAAAAATCGCAGTGTGCATCACTCGGTTGCCATCTGTTCTACCAATGTGTTCCACAGCTATTATGGCCCCAGAGCAGGACAGTTCCCCACCTGCCGGCATGGCCCTCTCTGCATTGGCCCGGGCCTTCTCCTGGGCATGCAGACCTCAGTGAGCACTCGTACACTGTGGACCTCTCCTCTACATCTTCAGCAACCCAGTAGCCTTTCAGTGGCTCTACCCAGGCCCCATTTCCATCACACCTTGCACCATCTGGACATGGCAAGCAAGGATGCCCAGTCCGATTCCGGGGTTCAAAGAAGTTGAGCTTGCACACACAGTCCTCAATGCTGGTCCGGTTGCTTTCCAACGTGTGTGTGTTCTCGGGGCACACTTTGCACTTGGACTGGCCCGTTCTGTTGTTGTACATCCCTGGAGGGCACGAGTCGCAGTGGTCGGAATCATTCCCAACTGAGAACGTCCCAATGTAGCAGTCCCTGCAGCTGGCAAAGATGTCACTGGGCACCATCTGCCCCGGCCTGCAGGTTGTCCTGAATGGATTGCATGCTGGCATCCTAAGTTCCCTGAAAGCAGCAAAAGTGGATTTGATCATGCATGTGTTGCACTGAAAGCACTTCGTGCCTGGTGAGTGTCAACCTTGCAGAACTCACAGTGGAGCAGAGAGTTGGTTGGGCCCTTGGCGATCTGCTGCACATGGTAGTGGCTGAATAGCAGCCAAAAACTGTTGAATTCCAATGCAACACCAAATTGTGTCTCTACTACATTTAGTTGGACAGGGTATTTACATGCACAAGGAACAATCAACTGCCAATCCACCCTAAGCAGGATCTTTGTGCTGTTGCACATAAAATGAGGGCCAACATCCTTCCCTGGGGAGGTGCATACCATGGTCATATGATGATCTCTGTGTACAAGAGCAAGTGCTGATGGGGAGAGCATCTGTGACTCACCCCCCTCAGTGGATACCTCACACATGCGGTTGCAGGTGGCAAAGAGCACCAGTATTATACCATCCTGCGACTGTATAAGTAAGGGCTCCTCCAACCCATCGCAGTGACAGCACCAGCCCCTACTTGTCGCAACCAGCAATAATGGTACATTGCATGAAACACAGCTGCACAAGGTACATTCACATGATGCCATGGGGACCCACTTCCAAATTTTGAAATGCTCTGGTATGGCAACATGATGTGACACTGTTTCTGCCAAGCCCCTAGGCACATCCGGACAGCTGCTGAGCAAATCAGTGTTGAGCAAAAGCGGCGCTCACATTTCTGACACATAACTACGGCGCCCACTTGTTCTGTGCATATGCATCGCCATCCAGATCAAACTCATGCAACAGTAGGTGCAGAGGGGCAGTGGCCATGCTGACAGACCCACAGCTACCTCAATACCGACTCAATACACAACATGCACAATACCGAAGGTGGCCCATCTCAATAGTGCCCACCATTCAAATGAGTGCCATGACTGACCACTCGCATCCTTTGCTTGCACGCTGACACCAACTAATGTGGTCGTTATTGCATTGCTCCCACAAGCCATTCAGCCTGTGTTGCCCTAAACTGCACTTGGCCAGTCCATGGACTGAGCAACAGCTCAATTGAATGGTGCCCTCCATCGCTCATGGCTGGCTGCTCCAATTCATAGACTGCAACACCATCAAAGGCTCTGATGCCAACAAATAGAGGCGTCTTTCCCTTTTACCAACCAGCCAACGAAAGGTGGCAGCCTGCTGGTTGATCTTACCTTAACCTTGCTGAACTGAACCCTGCAGAACCCATTGCTGGCCGCTCCCATCCAATGTCATGTTTAAGCACAACCTCCACCATGGCCAAAAAAATGCTTTTACGCTAGTCATCGAGGCCACCCAGACCCTATTCTGCTCTAATTTCCCCTCCATGATAGGAAAAGTTGGGCAATGCTGACCGAGAGAAACGCCCAGGAATAAAATCCTGACAAATGAGAGATGAGGCGTTCAGAATTGACATACTTAAATATCAAGTAAGAAGAAGTGATATCAAGTAGCCAAGAGCAATTTGAAATGGCAATGACAAATCAAATTATTGGAACGTAATGTCGCACCTATTTGCCAGGTCCAATGGAAGCACTGCCTCAACGCCCAGTTCACCTGGGGAGATTTCTTCACACTCGTCTGTGTCTCCCAAAACCTGTGTAGTCACAGGATCCATGCCAATGTTGCGCTGGTCCTTGTTGAACCTCACATGGCCAAAAAAGGTGAGCTGGTCCAGCTCTTTCAGCTGCAGCCTTATGCGCTCATACCCATCCAGCACCCTACCATCACGACACTTGAGGGGGGGACCGAACAACAGATCGTCGGCACTGCCAGCAAACTCGGCCAGGTTGCACTTGCTGAATGTCTCGTTGATGGCCAGCATCAGGGTCAAACCAACAGCACTTGCACCAGCTGACAGATATGTTGGTGGCTTTGCATATATCACATTGTGATAGTCCACATAATGCTTTGGCGTTCCAAACAGGTCGTCTCTCAAAGGAACAGTCCGGTCGTCTCCTGTGTATTTCTGTGCCCGATGCCACTGTACTGCACTGAGCATGTATGCGGAGTTGTTGGTTTGCAAGATCCAATCCTTCTTCGTGGGGCCAACTGTCAGGAAGAAGCTCTTGAGGGGGTACCTGAACAGGGGCAGGCAGTTCCCACAAGTGTGAGGTACAGCACAGGCCACACACAGCAGTCACACACAGCTGAATAGCAAAAGAGCAGGTTTCCAGTTCATCGTGTTGTCTGTGCCATTTCAGACTTCACAGGCATAGGAAATCTCTGGGAGGACTTCAGTACCAATCACCTGAACAAAGGATCTCAAACCTATATTCGTGGACGAACAGACAGAATTTTGTGCACTACGCCGATGGTCATCTGCTGGTGGTTGATGTTGCAACGAGCATGCTGTAACTTTAGATCCTCCATTGCATCAGGGGTGACATTGCAACAGATATTGCAACATACCTGGATGTTCCAACTGTTGTGTTTCCCATAGTCACAAGAACACATCTCCTTCCCTTGCACTCTTACCTTTTCACAAAACATAGGCTTTGAGTTTATCTATATTTTGACTCTGATGCTCTAGATTCTGATAATGATTCCACTCACAGGGACAAAACACAGTGCGCAAAAGCCATCACACATACTTTTCCTCATTGAATGCTTCGACCAGCATTCTGCCATCGGATGTGAAACCACAAGCCACAACGCCTTCCACATCGTGTCTTTTCGCCTCCATCGCAAAATTCTGGAAACGTGTCCTCAGCTCCGCCTCTTCAAGCGCCCTGGCTGGAACTCCTGGATTTTGACGTTCCAGTGACTCGCGAATCTCTGTTATGTTGTAGGTGTCTGTGATCTTGAGGCTGACCCTGCCTACTTGCTTCATGAACCGCTCATTCGCCAAGGTGATGGCGTACTCACAGGTAGTCCTTGTGAAAACGTTGTCTGAGCGGTGTATGACTGCCAGACTCTTCAGCCCCTTCAAGGCCATGCTCCGCAATGCCAGCTCAGGGTACTTGGTGTTGCTGGCAGTGACGCCAAAAACGTACTTGTGGCCCTGCCTGTATATCTCCTCAGGTCCCACGCAACAGTGGTAGTTCAGGCGTTTTGCCTTTTCGCAAATCCTTGTTTCGCTCTCTGTCAGTGGACATTGGGGCCAGTCAGCAATGCACAAGCACCAAAAACCCCAGTTCATGGTGTGCAATGGGACAATTTGAATGGACAAGGTGGACACCCGCTCTTTGCACATAACCACCACCTGAAAAGGATGATGGTACCTCTGTGCCACTGCAGTATCCTTTCGCAGCGACGGGGCACGAATCCAAGCGGCTTGCAGGCAAGGATCAGATACTCGTTCACAGCGCACAAACAGAAACCATCCCGGTCTACCCAACTGGGTACTATCGCCTCGCATCGTTACGCCAGGCAAGATTAAGCAAACGAGACTGGATGGACAACACTGCCCGTCAATGCCTTCACAGGCCGAGACACAGCCCGGCGCCTCCAAGGCAAACACGATCTGAACAGCCGAAGGGGGATCGCTCACCAGCAAACTCGGGGTGGGAGCCGAACACAAAGTGCACGGGGTCCCGCGGCCTGTGGAGCAGCTCCCTGAGCTCCCGCCTGTGGCGCTTCTCCGCACCGCCGTCGTCCCTGGACTCGAACCTGAACTTGAAGAATATCCGCCCGCCGTCGCGGCCCACCACCCGGAAGCCCCTGCCGTCGTGCAGCGCGCCCACGCGCATCGCGAAGAGCTCGTAGCCCTCGCGCGCCTCCTGCATCTCGTCGGTGGGACCGTGGCCCCTCTCTGTGAGCACCGCCCCCGCCCTGAAGACGATCGGCTCCTGCGCGCCGCACCGCCCCGCGCCCCAGGCGCACAGGGCGATGATCAGCAAGGACGCCGTCGAGGCAGCCGAGGCGGCCCATCGGCCGCCTCGTGTGTGTGTCATGCCTGCACGGAAAACTGCGAGCCGAGATAAGGAAGACAGCAATCGACTCATCCACTTGCCATGCGTTAAGAAGGGAGTTTGGGCCAGGGGATGGACTGGGCCTGAACTCGAGGACGCCCGCTGAGCAAGCATAAGTCGCTGGTACTTGCCACCCTCACCGGCCGCGTGTGTGGTACGGCGTGGCCCGGTCGCGCCCCTCGGGAGCTGGCATGCTGACTTGCACCTGGCCGCGCTTGACGCTAATTCCGGAGGGCGGTGGCCTGGGTTATGCCCGCGCGGGGGGCCACCGGTGCCTGTCGCCCCATTGAAACAATCCACGAAGCAATGCACGAAGGGGGTGTGGGGGTGGGTGGGGGGCGTGCAAGACAGTGTATGTATGGTCATCCTCCACCGTTGGGCGCAGATTGACAGACAAGGTTGGATCCCGGCGGCACGCCGACGTCTCTCGTTTGGTCGCGACGAGGGTGGCGATCCGAGCGCCGGCCCCGCGCGAAAATCTGGCAGCGCAGTGCCCGATCGACGCGGGGCGAGTGGCCGTCACGCGACAGCGGGGATTGCCGGGTGCCGATGCAGTCCGCCGGGCCGCGCCTCCCGACAGCGACGACCGCCGCTCACATCGTCCTGTCGCCCGGGGCGCGACGGTTCGGCCTTCGACCGGCGCTGGGCACGTCCAGCAGGAGGGGGGACCGATGAAGTGTGCGCCACTGAAGGAACGCCCGGATCGAAAGGCGCGCTCGGGACTACCCAGGGAGGCAACTCGCCTGCACATCGCGCGTCGGATGCACAACTCACGCCACCCAGAGAGGTGTTCGCCCCATTCCTGCCACCCCCCCGCCTCCACCCCCTTGGCGCGCTCCCACGCGCCCCGCGCGACCGTCCGGCCGCCCACAGCATCTCGGCGACTTCACTGCAGGCGCCGACAGCTTCCGCCGCGCCCCGGTCACCATGAAGCGACACACCTGTCTTCCCCCCGTCCAAACTCTCACGTGACAGCCCGCAAATCGTGATCCAAATACACAAACAGCTCCAGAAAATGGTCCCGATTTCCACACTCGCCAAGACAGTGCGCCAGCGCCAACCCACTCCCACCCTACCCGGCTCTCCTGCGGCCTCGAGCTCCACCGGCCAGGGAACCCCCACCCCCGGCGACCTACTCCGGCGCCCTCGCTATCCCGCGCGGCTTCTCGACCAAGGGCATGCGGCCCACGCCCCTGGGGCGGCCGCACCAGCCGTCTCCGCGCCTGGGGGGTCGCCGCTGGGCCGGAAGCGATCCTCAGCGTCGGGCCCCTCGATGGGGCTGATGGGGCTTGGATCCGAAACATCGTTGCATGCATCCCGTTCGGGGCCATTGATTGGTCATTGGGCACGGGAGGCGCGCGTCCGCCATGACACCCTGGGCACCGCCCGCGGAGCTGGCGCCGGACCATTGGCGCCCGCGGGCGCCACGGTGGCGGTACGGCCCGCCAGGAGAGGGCGCCCAGGGGCAATGATAGAACGCGCCCAAATTCCATTCTTCGGCGTTCACTGCGTTCTGTCCTCGGGGATCTTGCGAACTCACTCCCGCGTTGGTTTCTTTGAGCGACGTTACCCGTGCTTTGTGTGGCTGGACGGAGCATGCAGAGGCGCTGCTGGGGATGGATGGGCCACTGAGTAGTGACACGGTACGGGCTAGGCGTGCTGTCACAAGTCTGACGAGTATGTTACGGCATCGAGGGGCACAGCACCCTCATCCCCAATGTCCTCAGACATCAGACGTCATCCCATCATTGCTGCACACGCCGCTTGGATTCAGTCGTGGTCACCGCATGAGCGCCCCTGGGCACCCGTCTTGCGTATTCAGGGCAACCATTTCGCTCCTTGACGCCTGCAGCTTCCCTGGATGTAGAAATGCAGCAAATTCTCCCTGTCCTCCATTCCCAAGGCCTTGCCTTGGTGCTGCAGGTGTTGTCTGCCGGACGCTTTGTGCCACTGTGCCTCAGTGGAGAATTGCGAAACAGGACGCCAGCGGCGTTGCGAGCCGCATGGGTAGCAGGCGCTCCTGGGAGCTGGCCGACTTCTGTGTGCGCTGTGGGTGCTGCCCGAAATGGTGCATGACTGGAGAGAAACCCGTGACGGTGACACCTCGCCCTTCGTTGCCACGAAGGTGAGTGGGCGATGGGTGTTCCATTGCGTCCAATGCTGTCAGCGAGGGCGCTCTTGCAAGTTTGCGGCGCAGGGGGTGACCGATCTGATGAGCATCTATTGGCGTCTTGCAGCAAGGGCAGTGCTGTCACATCGCCGTCGACGGCAGCCATTCCTCCATCCCACTATAGGAGCAACTGGAACCCCCATCCCACTGCTGGTGGAAACAATTGCTGACAGGCTGTTACATCTACCCCGGAACTCAGTGTACAACAGTTATACATATGGTACTCACGCGTTCCCCACTTGCCCATATTCATGCGACGCCCATGAATTAATCGAAAATAATGAAAGCGGTGGAAAGAACACTCCCACCGTGCTTGCAGTGGCAGATCGACCCCTGCACAAGGGCAGCCCACTGGCCATCGCTCAGGTGCAGGAATGCGCTCACGCCCCAGCTCAACCTGCGTCCTAGCTCCCCTATCACAGAGGCAAGGCCCACTAGCCCCACACCAGCACAGAGACTTCCGGACAGGGATTGCCTGGCGCACACAGACTTGCCACCACAGTCACCTACTGTCAAGAGCGCTGCACCGCCCTTGACAAATGTTCCCATGGTCCTCCAAGCTGCGACATGCGGTATGCCAGCCGGTGCTGCACCGTCTCGTCGTGGCCATGGTAGTAGTTTTGCAACGTCCAGTGGCTCTCGATCAGCTTCGCATCTGGGCAGGCATAGTGCTGACTGGCCGACCAGCTGTCGAACGAGTTCGACAGGGGGTGCACTGGCGCACCGCCTGTGCCTCTGCCCAGCTGTAGGGACTGTGTCAGGTTCTCTGGTGGAGGTGGCACCAATTCTTGGCCACCAGGCCCCCACGTCTTGCTCAAGCTGGGCGCCAGCTCCCCACCCTGCTGCTCTATGTCACCTTCCAGACCCCCCTGCTGCGCTGACGATGGTGCACCAAGTGGCCCATCTTCATCAAAGCGTCCCAACCCCTCTACTTGTGAGCCGCCTACAGCTAGCAGCGACGACGACATGCCTGACATCTCAATCCCATCTTGCCTTCCCCTCACGCAGCTGCTTGACTCCCTGCCTTGCCCACTTCTGCGACCCTTCCTCCGATGGACAGCCGATGCCTTGGCAGCCCCGGCATCAACATCTGCCCCCACAGCTCCGGCAATATCCACCTTCCCTTCATTGCCCACAGCCCCTGGCCCGCCGAAGTTGCCCAACCCTATCCCACCAATGGCCGAATCAGGACCACCATTGTTGCAGGGTGGCCTTGAGTACTGAGAAGCGTACTGACTGTGTGTTGGTGGCCCATATGGCAGCAGGTTGGACAAGAACTGCTCCCCAGCTGCAGAAGGCGACCACGATGGGTACAGAGTGACGAAGCTTAAGAACGATTTCTCCATCTTGCCCTGCTTGCTGCGGTGGTGCCTCTCACCAAACACAGTGGCGCCATACTTTGTGTTGCCATGCCGCCTGAAATCGAACGAGGCAAGGCTGCAGGTGTCGCCCACTCCCCTCTCGTAGATGGTGTACCCAGCTATAAACTCGAGGATGGATTCTGAATACCGGCACACCACACTGAAGCTTGAAATGCACCAGAAACATCCTAGGAGAGGTTTGGCAACATGAGTGCACAGCATGGTTGCCTGCAAGTTCCAGCATCGCTGGCTACACTCATCACCACAACAGCACACAAAACAACAAGCAAACTCAAGTGTTGTCAAGGTCCAAAGCTCCGCAGTTGTAAATTCAGAGTAAGGCAATCGTCCTGTGACAGTCTTGCATCCGTGGCTGTTCGACAAGCTTTTTGAGGAAGGACATCACACAAACGTCCCTGTTTGGCAATGAATATGGGACCACCCACCTGCACAACCGGGCAGCGAGTAGTACAGCACAAAAGGGGTCAAAATAACAGAAGCCAACTCGTTCAGGAATATCTGGGCTTTGAATTGGAAAAGCCGCTGGAATTGCTCCTGGACCTGCAGCATTAGCAACAGCCACAATAAATTCTCATCAGGACAACAGTGAGAACATCTCTGCCTCAGTATGCCACATGACAGAACACCCCTGAGATAGGTTCCTTGGCATTGGGCCTGCTTTCAGCGACGCCATGGCTGCAAATCACTTCACAGTTATTGTCACCTTGGCTCCTGCCACCCAATTGAGAATATCCTTCAGCACACATCATGGCATTGTAGCAGGATAATGCACACTAGCAATTGAAACAAACAAGAGCCAACCTATGCGATTGCAAGGAGTCCTACAAAGAGTTCTCAGGATAGGATCGCAGAACACAGGGAACTCAGCAATGCAACATAATTCCTTCCTTTGTCTTCCAGATGCTTTTTGAGGTTCCCATTCAGGGGATAACAATCAGGACATGTACACGCTAGAGGTTAACCACATGGGGCACGCAGATATTCAGAGCTGAACCTCTCTGCATTCTGCTGCAAATGCTGCAGCACAGTACCTCTTTGGAGTGTGCTCTCCCTCGCCAGTGCCTTGGCAAATAATGTGTGTGCTTCACAACCTCAGCCATCGCCCCTTCTGGATCAAACCCCTCATCCTTCTGCACAAGGCCCCTCGTCGCATTCAGGAACACCGTGAAGATGGCGATGAAGTACCACACGCTCTTACCCATGAATTTCCGGTCTAGGGAGGCGTCCATCAGCTCTATGAGCAGCAGCAGGGCAGTGAAGCTCCCCAGGACGTATGTCACCAGGTTCATCACATGAGCAATACTGTAAGATGGGAACTGGTCCACATACTTGGTCGCATCCTCTGTACTGGCAGCCAAGCGCTGGTCCACGAAGTGCTCCATCTCATTGAATTCCCGCAGCCTCCAACGTGCAAGTGGTGTCCAGCTGCGAGCACCGATGGTGCCCGGGGAGTGATAAAACTTCTCCACGTTCTTCAGCAGGAAGTATATCACAAGGAACACAAAGACAAAGGGTGCCAGCAGAAGGTTGGCTACTGCCATTGTGCGGAAGCGGCGCTGCAGGCGTGGCACGTCATGCTTGTAGTGTTCCTTCACACGGAAGTTGTCGTCAAACATGGCATTCAAGATGCACCAGTAGATGTTCCACTCCAGGGTTTTGGTAAGGAGGAACTGCCTACGGTACCCAGGAAAGGGCACGTTGAGCGCAAGGACGCCCTTATTCAACATGCCGATGAGGTAGTTCTCTCTGCGCATGATGCGCATGATGATGTCGTGCTCACTCAGGTCGCGCACATTGCACAGCCTTGTCTTATGTTGGACCCGCACCAGGCGGTGCACCAATTCGGGCCAACTGAGCCACTGCATCAAACACAGCTCAGTCTGGTCAGACAATTGCACAAAGAACAGGCGTGTGCCATACCAACACTTGACCGCTTTCCATGCTGCAGCTTGCAAAGGTCAGAAGGCTCCACAGGGCTGTGTCAAAACTGTTTGTGGAAATTTACAAAGAGATTTCGGTATTAGGAGTGTACATCATGCTGCTTGTACATGCCACGAGCCATCGTCCAACACACCTTGATCTGCCGCTCAGAAATCCCCATCCGGTAGTTGCACAACCTCTTCACATCCAGCAGGCCAGGCAGCTCAAACAGGAAAAGCGCCAGAGTCCACAGCCAATAGAGCGAAAAGATCGCCAGATATAGGAGCTTGAGGCCCACCATCAGTGGCGAGGCACCCACCATGGGGTTGTGTTTTATGATGACATCCACAACGTCGCAAGACTCCTCCTCTGTGCAAGGGCTGCTCAAGGCACCCCAGTCAAGGAACAAGAGCAGGAGACCAGAAAACGCTACAGTGAAGAGAAGGGCAATCAGGTTCAGGATCTCCCGCAGTATTATTGTGTAGAATCCTTTCCCTTGCCAGTACCTGACCACAGCCACCAAAGAGCCCATGCATCAGCCCCCAAGGCAACGTGAGAATAAAATGTCATGTGTGAAAAGAATCAATGACCATCCAATGGATTGTCAGCTGGTAATCAGAGTTCGATGCAGTTCGTTATATTTCACTGTGATCATTATACTCTGTATCATACCCTTACTAAGACATGCTCACCCAGGCTGCAAAAAGGGAGCACAAGGTCACGCAGAAGCTGCTGATGAATCAAATCCCTTACATCATAATGACACACAATAGGCAGATGGTGTCCTGTTCAGTCAAGGTTGTTTTCAGAGCCATAGGTGACACTGAAAATGGCAAAGGCAATCCACTCGACCAGTTCCTCAATTGGCAATTCCACCAGACGCGTGGTGCTCTGTCCCAGGCGCCAACAACTGCAGCAATGCACAAACCACTGGCCTGCAGGCCGCAGGCTGGCAAATCAGAGGACGCACCGATAAATCCGGGTGAAAAAGGAGTCCAGATTGGAGTGAGCTTCCCATTCGTAGCTCTCCGCACCGGCCAGCTCCGGTGTGTCGATCTCATCTTCTGGAAGCCTGTGGAACGCCCGGGGCCCACCGAGTCAACCACCTACAAGCGCAGGCCGCTGCCGTGCCACGAACATCCAACCCACGCCGTTTGAAACCCGGGCCCCCCCACAGTGGACGCCCCAGCCCCGCGACGGCCACGGCGCCGCGGCGCGTCGATGGCCGATCCCCTTTGCCCATTTCGAGCGCGGCGCTAGGGGCCCGAGTCCCAAGACGCCAGGCCCGCTGGAGGCGCTTAAAGTCTCCCCCATCGCGGGAATGACACGGCCGCGCGCTCACCCAGGCAGTCGCTCGTACGGCAGGTCCGCGGGCAGTCCGCTTTCCTCCTCGGCGCTCATCACCGTCACGCCCTCCCCCGCGCACCCGGGCCAAGCTTCTCGGGCCCCGGCGCAGCCCACGGCTCTCGTCAGGCCGACCCAACCCAAAGTCGTCGATCACCCGCTCTGACGATCAGCGCCCAAGGCCGGATGATTCGCCTCCCCAACCCCCCGGCCGCCCCGCCCTGCCTCCTGGCGGGCTGTGCCTGCGCGGGGCCGACGGCAGATGCCGGCAGCGCGACACAGCCGCGCGCCTGGGATGCGGGGCGGTTGCCCTCGAGGGCGAGGAGGGCGCGGAGGGGAGCGGCTAGGGGGACGAGAGGCGTCCGGCGGTGCCGCAGCGGGCAGTGGACGGCTCTCGTGGACGTGCTCGTCCGCGTTCCGCCAGGTACGGGAGAGCTGCAGGGCCACCAAATGGCGGTTGGGCGTTTTTTTTGCGAGGGCCAGCGGGCATTTTGGGGAAGGTGACGGGAATCGGGGAGGGCGGTTCGGCGTGTGGTGTCTTTGTGGGTGTTGGTGGCTGCTGCTGTCGCTGACAAGGCCAACGCCAGTCGCTGGGTCGCCGGTTTAGAGTTCACGGTGTCCGAAACAAGAAGGGATCTTCACGGAAAGACAAAGCGGCTAATTTCGTGGCTGTTGGTGGCCTGCACTGGGCGAAGCCGGGGTGGGCCACCGAGGTACCTTGGGAATTCAAGCCGCGGCTCTCCCTGGCCTGTTCCTTGGCGTGCTGGGAGCCTCGGCGTGCAGCGTCCTGATGTGTTTGTAATGATTTCTGCTTGTGACTCGTGATCCACGAGAGCGAACGTTAACACAACAGGGGAAGCACGCCAGAAAGTTAAGGAGACTGCGAGAAATATGATGCATCTTGCATAACATGACGAAACAGTCGCACCAGTGGCCGTTCCTCGGGACAGGTGGCTCCTACTGAAACCTCTTGCTCTCGTACCCTAAGAAGTATTGAAATGACTTCGTCCATCACCTTTCCTTTCAAATTTTCTGCCCCCCTTGGTTCTCTTCAAGACACTGCTTTAATCGCGGAAATGGCCTCCAGCTTCTGATCACTTCTAAATCCGCATTTCGCTTGATCGATGGCATCACCATTCCGCTCGTTTGCTGTGCATGGCTCTCCTTGCAGACTCTTCTTGCCCTTGCTGTTGAGCCACCTCTTGCTATCTCAACGTTACTGAGCGGTAATCTTGCCATTTGATTTTGTCGTGCTCCTCCGAAACTGGACTCCCTCATTGAAGTTGCAGTGTTGTGTCCTGTTTGGTCTCGTTGCGGCCCTATTCACGCGTCGCCCAAGGCAGATTGTTTGCTATTGTTGTCACGCATCTAAATCCCAGGATCTTTTGCAGCATTTGCATTGAACTTGGATCCACGCCACACATCTCGACCTGAAAACGAGTGGTGTGTGGGATGTTCGGTTGAAAATCTTGATTGCAAGCATGCCATTTTCTGTTAAGTGTGGATGGATGGTTGTTCTGGGGGAGATGGAGGGGTTTGCATATGGGTGGCCAGCAAACGGGCTTTGTATGAGTTCAGAATTCACAAGTCGTGGCATTTGTTGCAGGACATGTCTGGCTGGCATTCCATGCGACCAATTGCAACTGTTGAGAAGCAGCGATGTCAATTGGCACACAGGGCTGGCAAAGTTCAGTGTCTGCCTTTCTCCAGAGCAAGGGCACGACCACACAGTGCCAGGGCTCCATGGCATATGGCTTGTGAGGACGCTGCAGAAACTTTGGAATTGGAAAATGCTTCTGTGGACAAGTGCTGCTGCAATCGACTCGCATAAGTGCACGTGGAGCAGACCTGGGAGGTGATGGAGCATGGTAAGGTTAGGGCTGAATGCCTTCATTGGCATTGGGCCACTGATCTGGATATCGTCACACGGGAGTTCATGGCCCAAGGCAGGCCCCTGGCTGCACAACAGCATGGTCTACTCTTGCGCATTGAGCTTTTCAGTTCCATTGTCAAGCCTGAGTGCACCACAACGCGCCGCTCTCACAATGCAATCCTGACATGCTTGCCTTGAGAAGCTCCTTAAGAGGCCCCTTTGGATGAACGACAGCATTTTGCAGCCTCGTCAGTGCCCATCTCGCACCGGCCAGCTCACGAAGCATCTTAGCCGGTGAGCAGGCTCCCGCTCGGGCCAAGCAGCCAGGATAGAACGGCGTTGCCCGCGGCGATCGCAGCAGTGGGCAGGAATCGAATCACTTCCTTCCCCCAAAGCCAAACCTCCTAGGAGGTTCCCTTATTCGTCGGTCCCTGATGCTGCGCACCCGCACGACTTTGGAGTGGATCGCAGCCGACACACAGTAGTACACCTTCCTGTAGATCTTCGGCAAAGTGTACCCTGTTCGCGATGGACACAACCAGTCACCAAACGGCTCTGCCTTCGCCTTTCTACGTGCTTGATGCACATTGTTGCGGAGTTTTCCTCACCGTGTCTTGCCAGAATTGAACAGAGCGGAAACACCAGACTCAGGAGTGAAAGTGCCCAGCGTGCGACCTAGTCTCGCTGATACCGTCGAATCAGTACGAACTCAAGAAATATCTTGCTCAAAAGATGGCCACCCAACATATGAAATGCCCATTTTCCTGCTGAAAGACACCATTTTGCCACTCTAATAACATAGCCATTCCTGTTCAGCCCCGCCGCCATTCGCTCCATTTCCAGCGTCGACTGCGATCTCCGCATCAAGGCGCACGATTCAATACGACGCTGAAATCTGACGTACAGAAATCGCGGGTGTCCATGCGTTCGGGGCCATTCGTCGCACATGCCCGCTCGCAGCAGCTCCTTCGCGCAGGCCATCCGTCGCGCCACCCACCGTCATAGACGCACGCCTCCTGGATGTCTCTGATCGCCGACGCGTCCACGATGTTCCTCACGATGAAGCGCTTGATGGCCTTGTCCTTAGGCACCAGAACGCCGGACTGCTCGCACCGTACGCGCCGCACCTGCAGCGCCACGCAACGTGGTCTCAGAAAACACCTCCTCGCCGCGCACGCCCACCCAACACGCACCGCGAAAGGCAGCAGCAGTATCCCCAGGAGCTCACGTGGCCGCGCCCGTGCTTGGAACGACCGTTGTTCCTCCTCTTCTTCGTCATAGCGGCCACACGACGGCGAGTGCGCCCGCCGCACGAGACTTGCCACCCAACACCGAGCAACCGAGGAAGGCTTGCTGGTTTCATTGATGCTTAATGATCATTTACCGACGATTTAATGTCCTCCAACCATGCCCGCTTCCGCGCACCCACCCCCGACCCAATCCGTGCGCCGAAAACCGCGTGCCCCCCCGTGTGGCCAAACCGCCGCGGAGCCGTCGTTCGCCCGCCGCCGCAACGCTGGAACTCCACAAGCTGCCGGACCTGCTCCCCGGAGCGCGCGGGGGCATGCCGTCGGGTGCGCATCCCCTCCTCGGACCCCCCTCCCCCGCTGCGCGACCTACGCCCGGCCCCCTCGCATCTCGGTTTGAACCGCGGCTGACCTCCGGTCGGGTCCTTTCAGGTCTCGGACTCGAAGCGGACCCATGGCTGAAAGACCACGAGCACGCCAAGCAGCTGGCGCAGGGCATCGTGGCTCTTATTCAGGTACTTTGAAGGGGGGGAATGTGTGGGGATATATGGAGCAGGGTCTCGTTGCTGGCGTTGGCCCTGCAGAGCGACGGCTGATCTCAACGCGCGCTGCGCCTCCGGACGTAGGAGCGCAACCTGAAGGGCCCGGACAGCGCAGGCGAGGGGAATCGGATGACAGCCGCGGCTAGGAGGAAGCTGGGCTCGCTGAGCACGGCAATCGACGGGCTCGAGGAGGCGCTGAACTCGGCGGGCCGGGTGGAGCTGTAAGTGGGTGCGCAGCTCATGGAATTCCGCGCTTCTGTTTGGTTGAGTTTTCCTAGGAAGAGTGGGCAGCATCCTTCCACAAGAAACTGTTGTGCACTTGCGCGTCGAACCTGGTTGTTTGTTGCCATTGGGACATATCTCCTTGCACAGATGTTGGAGAGTGCTTGCCAAAATATTTGTCCTGCTTGCTGGAGACCAGGCGATGGCGCAATATGCGCACTTTTGCCTTGTCCCATGGTACTGGCAATTGCCAGACAATGTGTGCTGCGATGTTGCTCACCCAGGTGGCACTGGGAGCACGGTTGGAAGCTATATGTGTGTACCTGATTGTGCCGTGTGTCCTCTCTTGCATGTGCAGAACTGAAAATGAGAGAAACCGCAGGAGAGACTTGGTAATGTCCCTTAGGAGCCAGAGAGAGAATTTGCTGCAGGCCTTGAAGAGGGAAAGCTCAAGGATGGACAGGTGATGATTGCTACCTTGATGCAGGATGGGAGTCCCTCTCCTGGGCAATATATTTTGAGTGTAAATTCCGTACTGCAGATATGATGTATCATGTCTTCCATTGCAGCAGGACTAACACTATGCAATGTCAGTGTGAATGGCAACACAAGCCGGGAAAAACCGTGAGCAGGTATCTTTGAGAGCAAACGTGCTGTTTGTTTGGACATATGGATGGAAATGGATGACTCAAGTGGGCCTACACTGCTATTGACCTCGGCTTAACTTTTCACACACCAGGAACGAATTGATGGGAGGTTCCAGTGGAGGACCTGCCCGGGAGACGGAGCAGACGGCAGGCCTTGACAATGCAGGGCTTCTCCAACTGCAGAACCAAATAATCGACCAGCAGGACAAAGAACTAGATCAAATAGAGGAGTCTGTGAAAGGAACAAAGGTGAGACCATCTGTTGAGAAGGCGTCCAATGGCAGGCACACTGGGGCCACATTGGCACAGGTGATTAGCACAAAGTTTGGAAGAAAGCTGGTTTCTCCACTGTGGTTTCTGTTGGTTTTAGTGGAGCGACACAAGGCACAAGTATCCACGCTGTGTTCGTAGGCATGGTGCTGTTCTGTGAAGGTGGATTTGATGGCCATGGTGTCGATCTTGTTGTGCCACTGGCATTGATGCTGTAGGCCTCCAGAATTTCAGCCACTGCACACAATCATTCATGCAGCGCAGTTTGGAGGGTGCGAAGCAACAGGTTTCGAACTTAGGGGCACTGGATATGATAACGTGGCCCAACCACAGCACAACACTGGCGTTGCATGTCATGGTGTGGCAGTCGTTGCAGAGTCGCAATAGAATCCTCAGCCAGTGTTGTCAACATGTCGCTGGTGTCTTGCATAGCTCCCATGCAGAATGAATGAATCATGTGCGATGGAGCCTGCCTTGATACTCGTAGATTGTGCAGCAGGAGAAGGAACTGCAGCTTGCAATGTGTATCCCTTATGGTGCATAAGAGCATTTGTCACATATTGTGCTGCGCGACCAGGATGCAGACACCCCTGATGGAGAACAAGGACAAAACAAATACCGTATTTACCCGGTATTAGTAGGCATGTATTGGACCCCCAAAATGAGGTGTGGATACTAATAGTGGGTCATGTATGCTAACGTGGTTTGGACCCCTGATTCAAAAGAGAAGACAAAGAAAATTTTTGACAAATAGGTCGTGAAATGCCCCAAAATGGGCGAAAATGGCGATGCTAGTGTGGAAGGTTGTCAGCCTCTTCACAGGAGCTGGCGGCCTTGACTTGGGGCTGCACCAGGGGGTGGCGATTGGCGATTGGGGCCGTCAGGGGTTCGCTGGAATGCTCGAGGCGCACTTGCCTCTGCAATGCAAAGAACAAGGCCTGACATGGGTCTCGACTCGCTGGGGCACCACGTCGCGACGATGCTTGACACGCGGCGTTTTCCCTCGCTGATGGCGGCTGGGAAGGCTGACGGGATCTGTGATTGGGTCTGTGGCCTGGCAGCTAGTGAGATGTGTTTTGCCCCACCTTCGCAGCATTGTACGGGCAATTTTGCAAGGCGGGGTCTCAAACGGCAGCTGCCTTGACCAATGCCGTCGCCTGCCCGTTCCTGGCGCCGAGCCTTGGGGGGCCTTTGGCAGGTGCCAGGCCGGAACCTACTCTGGCCAGCCGGGGAGCAGGTTGGCTCAATCCGGGAACCAGGGCGGCTTTGAATTCTCGACCACTTCTATGTTCGGGCCTTGCGGCGTCGGTCGCTGCCTTGCGATCCTGCACTGAGAATGCCAACGGCGGCCAGTCGACCATCCGGCCTTTTGTGGGCACCCTTCCAAATTCTCACTCGAGAACATCACCCCGACCCGACCGTCCCCGTCGATGTGCGAATCGCAGGGAACGCGGTTTGGTCCAGATTGGGCAACGAGGTCCAACACCAGCCCCCGACTTCCTTTGCCACCATCCGCGCCTTGCGTCATTTCTGCTCTGTTGAGGTTTTGGGGTGGATACTAATAAAGGGTGCCTACTAAAACCGGGTAAATACGGTATGATAGTTGTGTATTCTTCTTCTGTGTTTAGGCCTGAATTGCTAAGCAATGCATGGCAAAAAAGATATCTTACTGTTCGCTTTGTCGTGGTTGTCCGGACAGCATGTGGCCATTGCCATGGGGGAGGAGCTGGACCTCCAGGCCCATCTATTGGACGATTTGGAGGAGGAAGTGGGTGTTGTGCACAGTCGGCTGGGGGTCGTCACCAGCAAGATAAAGACGATAATGCGGCAGTCGGGGGAGTGCAAGTGGTGGTGCATGGTCGTTGGCCTGCTGGTGGTGCTCATAATCCTTTTGGTGATTCTCTTCAACACAGCATGGAAGTGATGACATGCCACGATTGGGCAGGGGACAATAAGTAGCGCGAGGGCAGGGTGCGTTCGACGTGCTCGATTCCTATTGTATATATTTCTCTGCCTTTAACATGGAGAGGAGCCTGAATGCTGTTCCCTGCTGCGAGGAGCTTGCATATTGGCTTCTTTCAAGGCCTGCATTCCGTCCAAGTCAGCAGCTATGCACTAGCACCTTTCAACTTGTGCGTTCAAAGAGCCCACAGGCATCTCCATTGTCTGTGACTGGTTTGGTTTGCTACAGCTTCTTGCCCAGGAATGGTGCCACTGCATCCTGTTCGCTGGCAGTCGGATGTTTGGCCACGAGTGGAGGATGTGGGCTTGTATTAAGGGATTGTGGATGTAAAAGGCAGGGGGTACTTTCACACGGTCTAGGGAAGTTGCAAAGCACAGCTGTTTGGAGAGGCCTGCCTGGTCTGCAGTGAGACCTGCAGGTTCCCAGAAACAAGGAGGCAAGGGTCTAGACAGGTTGCTGCTGCATGCAGAAAATGGTCCGACTGTGCATCATCTCCGCAATTTGTCGCATATTTTTTCTATCATGGGAATGACCGTTTGGGGGAAGTGCGGACGTCGAAAAACGGCCAGCAGCACGCCCTGAGGAAGACTGCAGACACAGAGGTAGACGTCCGAGCGGTTTGAAACTGCATACAGGCTGGTCTCCGACTTGCTGAAAACCATTAACTTTCGACCTGTGAACCAAAGAAACCAGGGATGTTGTCCATGCGCAACCAATCTTACGCCAAAAGCAGGCTACGCAGTCTGCAGCCCGCCAAGTTATGCGACACAGCAGTTCCCCAAACACGAAAGAAGATTGACGAGGTTGGGTTCAGTTCAAACCTGACCACAGAAGACAACTTGTTCCCCCGTCCCACTCACCAATGGAGCACAGGCTTCAACACCACGATTCACTGCCAGAATCCCCCACCTTACAATCAGGTGAATCATTGCATTTTCTGGCAAATTGATGACGGCGGGCAACAGTTGTGGGGTGCCAGAAGAACATTCCTGCCGGCTTACCGCAAAGCTGGAAAGACGAAGGGCCCCGATCGAGGCCGGCAAAGGGCTCAAAGAATTGGCCGGAGGAGAGCGGCAGAGGCTCCTGCGACAATCGACAGAACCGGCGTTCGCCACTCGGCCGTAACTTATCCGAGTCGAAAGTGGCAGAAGTTAACGCTCGCGACGGCAATATTTTAAATCCGCAAACTGGTCCAAAGGCGAAAGAACTCACGGGAGCCACTGGAATAGGAGGCTTCGCTCGTCGCATCTGCGGCCAGCCGCCCACCTGGGAAGTGAACTCGTCGTCCAGGCACCCCACAGCCTTCTCGCACTGGCCGACGATCTGCCAGGGGCCCGAAATGCACTGGTCTGGATCAGGGCGCCAGCCGAAACCCACAGACAAGACAAGGCCATTTCGCCGACCAGGAGGTTCTGCTCACCGTGAGAAGAGCGTAGCCGTCCAGGACGTCGCTTTCCACGAGGTGCTGCAGAGAGGCGTCCCAGGGGGCGCCCGCCATCGGGCGCTGGTTGGCGTGGACGGTCCCCTGTCGCCCCCGGCACTCGCAGTTGCTGGCGTCCCCATCGCACCCCAGCTGCCGCCGAACAGGGCGAAAAAAATGCAATAAGAAAATTGAAAAAAAACTCGAGTGCGCTCTGGGCCCGCGCTCGTGCACATTTTGGGGTGGGCGTCCCCAGCGACGACTTTGGCGACCGCACGTCCAAGGCGGAGGCCACCAGACGCCGTGAGGTTTGGGCCGAGAGGCGTCAGTGCGCTGCAGGGGGGTAGGATCGGAGCCTTCTGTCAAGTTCGGCGTGGCGCTGTTAGCTTCGGGCCAGGCGTTCTTCGGGAATCGGTGCGATGGCCAGATCGGGGCCCGTGATCACCCTCTCGATTCTGCTCCTCGTCGCGCCGCCGTGCCGCGCGCTCAAAGAACACGAGATCAAGAAGTTCGAGGGCGCGGCGCTCTGCCGGCGCAACCGCGGCCAGCATGACGGCAGGGCGTACGTCGTCCTGCCCTGCTCGGTGGTGGGGGGCAAGCGTACCGTGGCGGCCCTGATCCGCAACTAGGCCGACGGGGCCACCTTCCAGCTGGACCTGTCCCACATGGAGGGCAGTCTTCGGGTGCAGGTGACCGAGCCTGAATCTCCACTGCCCCGATTCAGGGTGCCGGACGTCCTGGTATTGGATCCCCCGCCGTGGGTCCAGGCCTGGGAACCCGGCCTCACGGCCACGGATCTGACTTTAACCTTCGTCGAGACCAAGATCGTGGTATCCTTATCGCCTTTCATAGGGAGCGGCACCGGGAGGCGATCCTGATGGGTGGTGGGAGGAAAAGTTCAGGAGCACGAGGACTCAAAGCCCCCGCGGCCCACAGGCCATTTCCCTGGACCTGGAGTTCTCGGGCTTTCAGCACGTGTACAGCATCCCCGAGCATGCCACCAGCCTTGACCTCAAGCCCACGGCAACGAGACCGCGGAGCCGTACTTGCTATACAACCTGGACGTCTCTGACCTCCACGAGTCCCCGTTCTGCCTGTACGGCTCCATCTCATACATGCTGGCCCACCACGCGGGCCTGACAGTGGGGGTTTTCTGACTCGACACATCTGAAATGTTCGTAGATGTTGAAAAGGTGCCAGAGGGCACCAGAACGCAGTGGATGGCAGAGAGTGGTGTTCTGGACCTGTACCTGCTGCTGGGTCCAGCCCTGCCCGGGTGTTGGGCCAGTACACGGCCCTGACGGGCACCATGGCCATGCCCCAGCTTTTTGCCTTCGGGTACCACCAGGGCAGGCGCCCGGGGCAGGAAGATGGTGGCGATAGTTGATCTGCACACGAAGTTCGACTCGGGTTATCCGGTGCACAAGGAGGCTCATCGGCTGGGGTATTATGTGAAGAATAAGGATGGGAATGACTACGATGGGTAATGCTGGTCAGGCCCACTGTCCTACCAGGATGTTCTAAGCCCAGCTGCGAGGGAGATGGTCGACCCGTTTCCTGGTCGAAAATTATGAGGGCTCACTGAGCACCTGTACATATGGAATGACATGAATGAGCCCAGCGTATTCAATGGCCCTGAAATCACGATGCACAAGGACTGCCTGCACCTTGGGAATGTGAAGCACTGGGACGTGCACAACTTGTACGCATATCACAACCAAATGGCCACAGCAAATGGGCTGATCGCAAGGGGCTTCAAGACCAAGAGGCCCAAGGGCGACCGGCCCTTTGTGCTGTCCCGTGTGTTCTTTGCTGGTAACCAGAGGCTGGGGCCAATGTGGACTGGGGACAACACAGCAGACTGGGCCCACCTCAGGATGTCTGTGCCAATACTGCTGTCCCTTGGGCTGACGGGGCTGACACATGCTGGAGCAGACATGGGAGGGTTTTTGGCAACCCAGCTGAGGAACTCATGATGCACTGGACCCAGTTTGGGACCTTCTACCCATTCTTCAGGCAGCACGCCCACATCGACACCAAACATCGGGATCTCTGGCTGTTTGGGGAAGCGGCAGTGGACAGGATGCACAGGGCCATACAGTTACGCTACATCCTGTTCCCCTACTTGTACACTCTGTTCAGAGTGGCCAACGTGTCTGGGACACCTGTCATGCGCCCCATGTGGTACGAGTTCCCCAACGAAGCCAACGCATTCGACCTTGAGGAGCAGTTTCGCTTTGGCACAGCTATCCTTGTCTGGCCTGTCGTCCAGACTGGGACTGATTACATCAACATGTACCTGCCGCCTGGGTCAGTGCGGTATGAACCTGAGGTGGGGGACGTTGTGAAGGCTCCGCCCTCATCGGACAAAGCCACGCCCCTCAACGTGCAAGTTACCATGGATGGCATCCCCTACTTCTACAGGGGGGCCCACATCGCCCCAAAGAAGGAGCACCACCGACGCAGCACTTTGGCGATGAAAGACGACTCATTCACCCTAGTGGTGGCCCTTGATGGAGACGGCTGCGCAAGGCGGGGAGCTGTACCTGGACAACGGCAGCAACTTCGATTTTAGGGATGACGCATACCCGCACAAGGTGGGCAAATAAATGCACAGTAGCTTTTCCGACAGCAGCATTTATTGGTTTCCCTGCGTCCTGTATTCTTCACTGGTTGTAAGAGGAAATGGATTGCATTGGTCAAAAAGTGGCAAGCACTACCCGCTGCCCCTTCAGAGTGACACTGTCCTAACCTCATGTGCACATGCACACACAATTGTCCGCATGCAGCCACAGCAGAGGCCATGCCAAGTACAGATCATGCCCGTTTATGAACAACTGACCTTCATATCCTGCCTGTGGGCAAGGCATTCAACTTCAAAAGACTGGAGTTGGCAAGCGCGGGTTTGGAGCAGAGGGATGCCTTCAAGTACGAGACACGTCTGATGATCGAGAGGATCGTTGTGCTGGGGCTGCCAGGGACGCCCGAAGCTTGGCAGGCGGTCGAGGCAGGCTCAGGCACTGAGCTGGCTGAACCTGAAGGGTTTGTTAGACAGGGTGCAGGACTGAGGGGAGCAGCACTGGTAGTAAGAAAACCAGGCTTGGAGGCTGTCAAGGACTGGAATCTGACTTTTTCTCAATTGCCAAACGTGTGATATGCATAATTTTTGTCACTGTGAGCGGTGGTGCAGGCTGAGCAGGAGTGAGAAGCAAGCAATCCCACACCGCTGCTGGCACAGCACACGTGGCCTACAATTGGTGAGTGGAATCATGTGACTTCGGGTTAGAAATCCATGTTGGTATTGAGCCAACCTTGATTTTGGAACCCCCACTATGTCACTATGTGCCAGGGGACGCGGAATACGAGCGCCTGTAGCCCTCTGCTGAAAGCTCCCAACACATGTACCAGCGTTGCAGTCTTCGTCTCGCCGCCCAAGTGATGAGTATCAATCGTTGGCTACGAAATTCCACCAACGTGATTGGCTGCCAGGTGCTCATGCATGGCCACCTGTTCTCCACGCACACCTACTGACATAGATAGAGCTACCTCAGCTACCTGGCTCATGGGTATCGCGGCAGCGACACGACGGTGTTCGAAGCGAGGCCCAGTCCATGACCTTCAGAAACAAGCCGGCCTCAATAATGCGACCTCTCACCCACTTCCAATATTTCTCCCCAACGCCACCGGCATTCCACATTTTTTCTGTGCTTGTTTCTGGCCTCTGTCCAAAAGAGTGGGGTGCACCGCGGAGGTGTCCGGCCAATTCGTCTAAGGACAACTTGTCTAAGGGCAACTTGTCTAATGGACAAGCCGTCAAAGGACAGTTGGTCTAAGGACAACTGGTCTAATGAATGATCCTCGCAAAACACGGCCATGGGTTGGTTGTGTACCAATGACACAAACTTCTCTGTTACGAATACGGCTCAAAGCCGTTGCGTGTGTTCATAATCATCATCATTATTTTTTACAGAACAAGGCAATGAGGTAGTCGTCAGCTTCCTATATTGCGTGTGTTCATCATCACCATGATTTTTTACACAACGAGGCAATGCGTGTGTTCAGGTGCCCTATGGTAAAGTCAATTGCAATGTTGACTCCGTCTTGGCATTAGACGGGTTGTCTTTAGGCGAGCTGAGTCAACTCGTCTAACCAGCGCCCATCGATTACATTTCCCCTTCAATTACATTTCGTTTGTGGGGGCTGCATTCCGAATTGGTCCCTGCACGCATTCCCGAAACCCGCATAAGGGGCAGGACAGCACAGGAGGGTAAGCGCCGGACCAGGCACGTGGCTGGCGGGCGTGGCGCGGTTTGGTGTAGCGTGGCATTGCGTGGGGCGTCGATTGGAAGCTATGGAAAGCGGAGATTCTATTGGGTGCAGAGGTGGATCGACGGGAGAGGTAGCCGGGCGTCAGTGCCGATTAGCAGCGATGGAGAGCACATATTCTCAAGGCGTGAAAACTAGATCGGCTGGAGAAGCTGGCGAAATGGAGAGTAGACTGGCAGATGTGGAGCAAGGAGATTCTCCAAGCCGCGAAGGTGGATCGACGGAGAGTCAGGCGAATGGCTGCGCCGATTGGCAGCAAGGGAGCCAGCAGATCCTCAAGGCAAGAAGGCGGATCGACGGGAGAGGCAGGCCAACGCGACCCCAATCCACAAAGGGAATTGATTCGCGGACAAAGGGCGTTGAAGTTCCATGCTCACAGGCATCTCTACACAAGAACGCTGCGACTGCCCAGGGCAGGTAGTTTTGACTGAAAATGTGGCTGCCAGTAACAATGGCCCTTGGGCTTTGCGGCTTGGCCCTTGGGCAACCGGCTTGAGCTGGAATGCGGATATGAGTGAGTTGGTTTTGGGATTTAGGGGAATGCGCTCAACAACTGAGGGCCCTCAGGCCGCCTGCTCAGTGAATATTTCATTTTGCGACAGTGGATTTTTTTTGGACACTGGATTGTTCTTTTCTGCGATAGTGAATATGACTAATGCACAGCTCGGAAGGCGGCAAGGCCTTTGAACTGACCCGCCACCCGCCACGCGCCACCCGACACCTGCCACCCTGCCACAGGCCTCCACCAGCCACCGGTGTTGTTGTTCACAGCCCGAGGGATCGCTGTTTCACTTCCTCGAACTTCACGGGTCAACGCTGCACTTGTCAGGGCCCGCGTGACACATAGGGCCGGGCGGCGCTAACTGGCCGCTAAGGTGTGCCAAGTGCTGAAAATGCTTCTAGTGGCAGCCCGCCACAGGGCATGGCTCACAGGGCATGCCCGTACCCCACTTGCGTGCATTTGAACTGGCTAGGATTGCAAAAACAGAGTTTGGGAGGAAACGGGGGGCCTCCAACCTCAGCCAAGTCGGCTAAATCTCAATGTCAAAGTGGGCATCGAATGGCAGCGGCAGCCGCCCTTCCGCAAGGTGGGGACCCTTGGCGTCCCAAAGCGCTCCCGTTTCGCCTTCCGGTTCCTTCTCGGAACAGGCGCGCTGTCAGCGCCGTGGTGAGAGAAGGTCCGTGGATCGCCATGGGTTGGCAAATCTGATGGCAACATCTCGCGCATCAATTATCGCCTTTGTCGCAAAAAGGAACATGTCGCAAAAACGAACAATTTCACTGTCGCAGAAAATAATAGTGACCCACCCGCTCGAGGCGCGATGCGGATATGAGCAAGTCAACTCGGGTCAACTGAGTTTTAAACGAGTTGTCCATTATACGAAATGTCCTCAGACCACTTGTCCGTTAGACGAGTTGTCCTCAGACGAAATGGCCGCCACCCCACAACGGACTGCCCGAGAGCGCCCACCAGCCCACGAAGCCCGAACGCGAGTCCGGGTGAACCTCAGGCAGCCCGTCGAGTGGGAGTGTCTCCGAGGAGCGCCCCGAATCTCGAAGCCAACGAACCTAGGTGCGGCGACGAAGCAATAACCATGTGCGATTGGTTACTGGCCAATCCGCTTAAGGTTTGCGACGGCTCTGCGACACGCCGGCGGTTGCGGCGCGTCAGCCCAAAACGACTGCAGCTTGGAGCAGTCGGTCCATCCCGCGCGCCAATTGCCGGCCCAGGGACTCCGCAACGCGCGCCGTTGGGCTTCGCTCGCATTCGACGGGGTTCGATTGTCGGCGGCTGGGCGCCCGCGGTTGGTGGTTGCGACCCCGACCTTGACGCGGGTTGCGCGGCGATGCCAAAGGGAGGTGTGCCCAGGCCCGCGCTAGCTGTGCCACGCGGCCGCCCCAGCCTCGCCGCTAGTGGCTCCGCCGGCCGCAGGCTTGCGCCTGTCTTTGTGGCGTGGGTTGCCCATGGGTCATCGCAAATTTCCAAGTATTGTCGTCACGCGTACTGCGCCTTCTTCAGCGCGGCAGAGCGCGTCCTTGAGCGCATTGATTGGACCCAAGATTGCCGTCGCGTGTCTCGCCTGTCTTGTCAGCCGCACTGGCGGCGACGTTTGCACAGGCGCCCCGCCAATGGTGTTCTGTTCTGATTGGAGTTGGGCTGCTTGCAGCAATCTGAGACAACGGGAAGGGCGGCAATGGACAGGAGCCGCGCCAGCGCCTACCTGTGCCCCTCCCTGTATTCAGGCGCATTCAGACCCGCCGTCGCGTCGCCGGAGCCGAGCCAATCCTTCGTGTGGAAAGCCGTGAAGCCCTTCTTCAATGGCGGGCTCAGCGGCATGATGGCCACCTGCATCATCCAGCCCATCGACATGGTCAAAGTCCGCATACAGCTGGGCGCTAAGGGGAACCCGGTGAGGTGCACGGGGCAAGCGGGGCATGTTGGTGCGCGGCTGGGCATTCAGTGGGTACTAATTTCCACCGCGACTCTCGGTGCAACAGGCACGCGCAAGGGGGCGGGGATGATGAGCCTTTAAGCACTCGAGTCCGCGTTGACAGTGCGACTACTCCACGCTTGGCTTCTGACCTCAGCCGCCTTGCGAATCTGATGATAGCCCTGCGCTGGCCGTCGTTCAATCTTTGAAAACCCTGGCGTTTTGGGACGTTGGGGCTTGAGATCCATGGTGTGGTCGCCTGTCCGCTGGGGTATGGATATGCCGATGGCGGGTCATGGGTGTCATTGTGATAGGTTTTGTTATCGGATCATGGCTTCCTGCCCTTAGTTTTCCCAAATGAGCGAAGTGCTTGGTGGCCATGAGTTCTGCTAGAATTTAAGGCGATAACTTAATCTGCGGAAGATGAGATGATCCGATGCTTGTGGATCTGCCAATGGATCTTGCGGAAATTGTTGTGCACCAAGGACCCAATGTGTGATGTGGTGCCCATTCTTTGCTGTTGTACTTGCTGTGAAAAGCAGTTCTATGATCAGCCGTCGAATTGGCGTTGATGCTGATTCCCCATCGGCTCAACGCTCCACTGGTGTGGTGTTTCTCACAGCTTGCAGTCGGCATGGCCATCGCTCGTCAGGATGGCGTGTTTGCCTTGTACAATGGCCTCAGCGCTGGGCTCCTCCGCCAAGCCACGTACACCACCGCCCGGCTGGGCATATTCAACACCTTGAGCGCAGAGCTGAAGGAAATGAACAAGGGACAGGTGGGCATGGGCAGTGGCAGATCAGCAAATTGGAAACAGGCTTCTGGCATAGACAACTGTGCTGTCAGTTCTTGAGATGAGCCAGGGTGCAGGAGTCCTATTTGGCATCATATCTTGGCAAGTTGCTTCCCCAAAACTGAGTCCTATTCCTCTCTTCCAGAAGAGCAGTGGGCATTGCTGTAGGAGCTGCAGTAGAGCTGCATGCATGGGTGATTGGGTGAAAAGACCACCTCGTCAAATGGCAGGGCACAATTGCACACTGCTTCCTCTTGTATTGGAAACATTGAATGAGCACATGCAGCAGAGAACCTTACCGCGGAAGAAGTAACATGAGTGTGTGCTATGGCAGAATCTTCCCTTGTGGATGAAGGCTGCTTGTGGGCTGACTGCCGGGGGCCTGGGAGCTTTGGTGGGCACACCTGCGGACTTGTCGCTTATCAGAATGCAGGCAGATGCCACATTGCCACCAGAACAACGAAGGAACTACAAGAATGTGCTGGACGCTTTGGTCAGGTGTGCCCCATGAATGCTACAGGGCTGCATCAGTTTTCTTTGCTTGTGAAGCAGGAGGTGGAACAGCATATGCATGAGTGGTAGAGCATGGTGTGAGCACCTGGTAGCTTGTTGGAAAGCATACAATTGGTTGGGTTGACAAGCCTTGTAGCACATCAAGTCCATCTTGACAATACAAACACCAACACTTTACTACTGACCTGAAAAGGTATCAAGGCCTGCAGCCTGACGACGATGGAGCTAGTTGATTCTCAAGCATCAGCCCAACAGTTCCACAAGCCAATAGCTGCAGTCGAGGTCGAACTGCAGCTCACTTGTGATATGCTTGCGTCAAGTTTGCTCATATGTCAAGTGCGGGCCGATTGCACTTTCCTTTGAGGGGGGTTGCCGCGTCCTCTGAAGCAGACTATAGGAAGTACTTTTGCAGTGGCACAACTTGCACAGACCAGCCCACTGTGGTCCAAATTGTTGGCATCACATTTGAGTGGATAGGTGCAGTGCAGCCTGGGCACTACAATGACATGACTTGATGCTGCCAGCTGATTCTCTAGATGCCTCCTGATTGCTTGCCTGCAGGATCATGCGTGAGGAGGGCTTCATTGGCTTGTTTCGTGGTGCTGCCCCTACTGTCACCCGGGCCATGGCTCTCAACATGGGAATGTTGGCCTCTAATGACCAGGCTAGGGAGATGCTGGTGGATGCAGGGTTTGCAAAGGGCAGCTACGTTGTGATCTTGGGCGGCTCAACAATCGCTGGATTCTTTGCTTCTGCATGCAGGTGACTTGATGAAGCTTCTGTTTTGTACCCACTGGCACGTTTTGGTGCATTGGGTCTACTGTTTTGATGTCCTTGTTCTGCTTGCCGGATTGAGGTTTATGTTTATCGTTGTTGCCACTGTGCTGGCACAATATCTGCAATGTGTTGTTATCATTTCGATGCTGGCAAGGAACCAGAAGTCCTTGAAGGGATTGACTGCATGTGCCAGAATCTGGACCAACTGCTTGGCATTCAACTATGGGGATGCAGGGCCATGCAGTCAACCAATCGTTTTGGTTGCCCCAAGCTGCTCATGCCTTTCTGGTTATTGGGTTTCTGGGAAACCCAATGCCCTGCCATGGGCAACCTTGGGCCATGATGGCAGCCAGGGTCACCCTCCCCGTCGATCAGGCAGTCGGGCCATGTGGTTTGCCACCTGAACAGTTCATTAGAGGCCAAGAACGCCGATCGATATCAACCTTTTGGCTGCAAGTTTTTTTCCCTGCAACTCTGATTGCATTTTGCTTCACAGTGCACAGCAGTACCTTGCAATGTGAAGACAAATGCAGCTGGAGCCCATTGTGAACTGGCATTCCTGCAGACACCTTTTCCCGCAGTCGCTTTTCCAACATCGCCTTCCCAGATCGGGATTGTTTTTATTATACTGTTCATTGCTGCTGTAGTTTGTCGCCTTTTCTACATACCAACATGGATCATGGCTGCTCTCCTGGCGGCGTGCTTGACTGTGTGTTTGCCATTTGCCTGCAGCTTGCCTTTCGATTTTGTGAAGACCCGCATGCAGCGCATGACGGCCAACCCAGATGGCACAATGCCCTACAAGGGGCCCATTGACTGCACGATAAAGACCTTCACAAAGGAGGGGCCCCTCAAATTCTACACTGGCTTCCCGACGTACTTCATCCGTATAGCGCCCCACGTCGCCATGACCCTCGTGTTTCTGGACGCGATAAGGTACATCGAATCCAAGAACGGGTTGTAGAGCGAGCGTAGGTAGCCGTGCTGGAGATCTGGGCAGCAACACGTTCTACTATGAGAGATGAACGGGAGAGACACTTGGGAATCCGTATTGGTTACGTTTGCAACAGCATTACGATGCGCTGCCCTTGATTTGTATTGTTTGGAATGTGTGGGTTGGGGAGATGGCGGTCGCAATTCTTACCCGTTCGCTGCTCGCCTGATTGGACCCTTCGTTCTGGCTCATTGCCCTCCTGACTGGAGAACATGAACCATGTGTGTGTTGCCAGACAGCTTGTGTCATTTGCGACTGCGTCGTTCATGCTTGTTTTCGTTCGTGCGTCTGACTCGCTCTGCCGGCCCTGGGAAGCCAAAGAAATTGTTTAGGCTGGATGATTGCTTTATTCTTTATGCACTTGCGCCGCTTCGGTGGAGCTTGCCGTGGTTTGGAATGGTGTGGGCTGAGTTGATTGGCAAAGATGGAATGCGGCAATGGAAAAATGGACAGTGGGGAAGCGTTGTATTCTCAACGTGTAGAGAGAAGCAGATGCGACAAGCCTCTGGGGCGTGCAGTTTGGACTTCAAGCCCCGTTCACTTGCAGCTGCGCCACGCTGAGGGTTCACCTCTCCATTTGGGAGTGTTGTTGATCGATTTGATGCCTCGGTGCACTGCTGCACTCAATGGTGCCGTTGCACCACTCATCTTTTGTTGAACTACCGTCATTTGTCCCCAGCAGAATATCGACACTGTGCAGGGCGCCGTTCAATTGCTGCACAAAACACAGAAGACAACCCCATAGCCCAATGCCCAATGTGGGTCCATCAGAATTTACAGCCCCCCTAGAAACCTGAAGGTGAAATGGACAGTTCTAGTTAATTAAACTCGCCACGGAGGCGCCTTTTCACCACGCTAGTTTTGTGTGTACAAATTTCCATACTTCTCAGTTACAGCTATGCAGGGCCATCTACCGCACAATTGATATGTCGTTAATATGGAACAGGCTATTTGGACTGCTCTTCTTTGGTGCTTGAACAAATAGCCAGGTAAGGGCGCCAATGCAGTGCTCGCGCTCGACATGGAACACGTGTCATTCCACATGTTCGACGATAATCTTCGACCTGTGCCAAGGCACTGGGGGCTCCCGCATGAGTCAGTGAACATTGCGTCTCCAACGCAATTATTACAAGCGGCCGCCTGTCTGTACGTAAATACTCACAAGTGACCGCGTAAAGACCAAGCCAACGGTTCACGAACTGAGGGTTTCCCAAGCACCCATTTCTCCTGTACTTACGGCACCCACCTACACAACTCACATTCAATGTAGTGCCCCAGCGCGGAATTTCAGGCAAGGGGCCACAACGCTGTTGGAACATGGCAGCAGAATTTGTACAGAGCCCCCATAGCATTTGCTGGACAATGCTAAACCGACTTTAGGCCTTGCGCACTCTCGGTCTCCTTTGCACCAACTTGGACACGATCTTGGAAAGATATCGCGGCGCTTTAAAACCACGGCTCCAACGGGACGTGAGACCTGTGTCGCTGGCTGGCGCCAGTACTACAGCAATGCCGCTTTCGTGTTGGTGTGGACACAGACCTCGGGGCAAGAGCGATTGAGGACAGCTATCGAAAAGGACAAAGCGGAATTGGGCACATGCAGAAAGACACAGATCCCAGAGGCCAGGCCATAGGGTTCGGGACCTGGCGGTGGTGCTGAAATTGGCCGTCCAATGCGAATATTCTTTTCAGCATCCCAGCCATCTCCTCAAGACCATGGCATTTTGGTACGGGAGCACGCTGTTGCGCATTGGAGCCAAGCGCACGCCACCAAGAGGCTTATACGCAACGTGCACCGCTACCAGATATGCCTTAAAATCAATGTGAAAATCAATGTGCCGAGGACAGCGTCCCAACAGCATCCTTGGATTTACGCCCACGTGCTCTCCCAGACGCCTAGAAGAAAAGTGGACGGTCTCCAATGATCACAAGACAACACCCACAGGCCAATCTGCAACTCTTGCACGTTGTCACAGGCGTAGATGACATCGTATCCCTTTGTTGTCCATAGCCACCGTGGGTTGTTGCAATCTTAGACTACACCCCGCTACCTTATATACCGCCTTTAAAGGCACAGTGCCCGTTTGCAGTTCCATACCACGTGAGAAATAGCAGTGCCGCGTTTTCCGCCTGGGAACATTCGTCGCCCCCGTTGGCAAGGCCCTTTTGCGAGTACGCCACAAACAGCACGCGACGACCTAGAGAGAAGACGCATCCCAACGACTGCGGCGCGTGCAATGGTGGAAGCCGACTGCAGCGAGGCGATAGCCTTCCTCCAAAAGGCCGGCAGCAATGGCGGGGCGTCAATTTACGAACACCTGTCCGCGGTCTTGGCCAAGGTAAGGCCGGCCGCGCCACGGCGGGCAGCTGCCTCAGTACAACCTTGGCAAGGAGCTGTGCAAAGTGGACTCGTGAGATCTCAAGGGGGTCTCTGGAATCTGGACCTGTGCGGCATGGCGTTGGCCCATGGTTGGACTGAAAGCGAGGGCCGACCGCCGCGTGCACTGCGGACTCGACAGGCGACAAGGCGCAGCGCATGGGAGCCGCAGATTGCGTTAATGCAAATTCGGTTTGAAATGCAATTCTGCGCCAATAAAGACTGAGCCAGGGAGATCGTAGTCATGTGGTTGAGAGCAAGTCTGCCCAGCACTTTCCGCAGGCGGCCGGATATTGTGTGTCCACGACATGGAAATTAAACCCCAGGGGCCTTGTGAAAGGGCACGTTGACTTGAGAGGTTGCGGTGCCTGTCCAAATTGACTCTCGAATTTCCACGGCACTCACGACGATGCCCTGGCCAGGAAAATATTCGGCACACAGGTTTCCACATGTTGTTCAGGGGCTTCAGAATCCAAGGCATGGTCCACAAGTTCATCGGCATTCCAGACAAGATGCACAGCGGCATATTAGTAATCAGCCTTTTTTGTGATCGCTCGTACTAGCACCGTTGCCTAATTCGCTGAATATGTGCACTTTTCACTCTTGCTAATTATTAGCGCAAGCGCGTAATCGCCTGAAAGGCCGCATTGCCCTCACCTGGCAACAACAAGGCTGCTTTCAACAACTTCGTACTGACATTGCCATGAAATGTTGGAATTTACATGCAGATTCTGGATGAGCGTCCCACGGGTGCCGTGGATCTGCTGGAAACGTCCCTCCTCGTGAAGAAGACCGTGTTTGATCCCAAGGAGACCGCGCCCGTCGTCCCTCCTGGGGTAGGGGTGGCTTATGTGGAATAGCTCCATAACTAACTTCAAGTTTGTTTGGTCGACAGTTCAAATTTCAAGTGCGATTGGCAGCATGCATTGTGTGTCAACACTTTCGTTTCGAACGCTCTGAATCAATTGCGCATGCGGTGCATTGTAGCTAAGCTACAATTCAAACATTGATTCCAATTAATAATTGTTGTCCAATTAAAATAATATTTTAACTTCGAATACTACATGAAATTTATGTGTTCCATCGCACAATCGTGGCGCCCACGGATATCTCGTGGGAGCTCAATTGGCTGAAAATGGGCGCCATTTCCTGAGATGCAAACGTTACCTGTGCAGACAGGTGTTAAGTCGAGTGGGGGTGAAGTCGTAAGCTTCCCTCCACAGGTTCAAAAATCCCCGAAATACGCAATACATATATTGCGAGGGTCCTTTATACAAAAGGATTCTAGAAAACTTGGTGGCCGCCATTCTCCTAATGTTAAGGAGGCAATGTTGGTCCCTGTGCCATCAAACAAGCTTTACACCACCTTGCTTACTGGTATCGAATTTGGCCGATAGATTGCAGCGATGCTCTCCCAGTTCTTCCGACATATGTCTTCCTATTCTTGTCGAGCTGTAGGCACACATTTCGTGCATTAGTCCTGTGTTAAGCTAAGAGTCACGATTTCTGCATTTGGTTAACGTGACATGACAACAACTTGAACTGTATGCTGCATAGCAGGGCTATCAGGCACTCATAACGTGATCCTGTGATGACGCATAGCTCCATGCGGGCGCCATTCTGATCTGAGATTCTTGCAGTTGTGACATGTAGAGCTCAGGAGAGGCCGCCAGGGCAGTGGCAGCTTCGTTGCTATTCGGGTGAGAAACAAGTCAACATCGATCGAGACAGAGGAGCAACTTAGTTCTTCTGTCTCTGTACAGCCCCCGGACTTTGCAACATACGATAACGTCATCTATGTATTAGTCACAACAACTGCCGCTGCCCGCAGATCAAGAACTGTAATTCTTCGTAAAGAGCTTTCACTGCCCATCCCCATGGCGCTGTTGGTCAAATTTTCTGTCTCTATACATTTGCATGAAGCCCTCTTGTCTGGCCATTGGAATGCCCACGGCTGAATGCTGGGGTCATAACGCTGCTGGGAACAAAATTAATCTGTATGGTCTGACATAACGATGCGTTAGTTTCGAAGATAATGAAAAGCGCTGATGGCATAGATCGAAATGCTGACGTGCATTGTTGACGCGGGTGATAAGTCGGAATTCAAAAGCAGCAGAGGTGAGCAAAATTGTACTAAATTAAGTCATAAGAATTCATTAATCGTGACAGGTACAGTCCTGAACAGCGATAATGCGGCAGAAACCAACGCCACTGTTGCTCTCAGTGCAGGAACGCGGAGCCCTCCATTGATCCTGAAACTGGAGATCCCGTTGAAGTTGAGCCACCAAATGAAGTGAGTCGCCAACGTTGTATGGATGCAGCACACAATTATGCGCAAAATATGGAATTACATGTCATTGTACTACCACTGATGACGTGGGGTCTGGAAATGCCTTTAGTTCATCATTGGTGTGCAGCGATGTGCCCTTTTGCAAACATTGTTACTTTGTCGTAGATTCCTAGCTGAAATTTAAATGCTCTGATTGTTCAAGTTGAGCTAACACACGATTGTGACGTCCATTGTGCCTGTATTTGCGTTGCATGCAAGATACACAATCCATTCATTCAGCCCACCACTGTCGTTCTATTAGAGCTCCATGGCTTTTCAGAACATTTCTAACTCAGCTTCATTTGGATACTTATGGATCCCGTCTGATGTCTGTTATATTGCAATTTAGCTCGCTGTCTTACACGGATGCAGGAAAGACAAATAAGCAAATGTGCCTGCTTACATTCGAATTTTGTGATTGTAGTTTATCGCTTTCCAAATTTGATCAGAAAAATACTTGTTCACATACAAGGAGCACTTTTTTGGAAGTGATATTTTCATTCATGATAGCCATGAAAGTGCCTAAGATGCTGGAACGTTCCATTTTGTTAACAAAATATCGTATTGCATTAAATCAATGTCTCATGTTCATATATCAATGTATAGATGTGTCGATAGAACATGTGCACACATCCAGATGCGTCTTTTCTATATTGATATCGCGATCATAGGGGAAATCTTAGAAGCGGATCATCGCCGCACCTTAACCCGTATCTTGATCCGTATCTAACCCGTATCTAACACGTATCTTGATATCGATTACGTCATCGCAACAGTGCAAAAATATAGAACATTGCCTTCTGCCTGTCGGCACCCACTTCAGTGCGAAATTTCACATATTTCGCAAGCTGTGATAAAATTGCACAAACGTCGCCAGGGTCAGTGCGGTAAATTTGGTCCCCCACTATCAGCACAAAACAGGATTTGATAAAGACAGCTGTGCACTGAAATCAGTACGACTGCGAGGACGTCATCAGCGACTCCAATTTGTTCGAGGCTGTGGGTGTGGGCGTCGGCGCCCGCGACATGTACAATGTCATGCTGGCGGTCAAGAAGCTTGGAGAGGATCCGAAGCACGGCATCAGCACGGTTCGCTTCTTCGGCAAGTTTTTAGGCCTGTATGCGGACTATTATGTGTTCGAAACTACACTGAAAGATGCGCCGCAAAGGGAGGAAGAAAACCTGGGTAAGATATGCCCGCTGAGGCGTAGAGGTGGGCGTAACCAAGCCACTCAGGGAATAAAGGCGGTCGCATTGCGGAAGATGCTTGGATGCAAAGGAAACAATTGGTCACATTGTGGCTGCTGCTGCGAATGGCAATCAACACTCGGCACATCTGCTCCAGAACTTGTGGGCTTCTGGGATGAGTCCGGAATTGACGCTAGGAAGGGGCTCCACAGTGGCGTAGCAAGCAGTCGCTGTGACCCCATCATTGAATTTTGAATGTCATTGTTGTCATGATCGTGAAAAGCGGTGCATACTGTACATACAGCGCGGGAAGTTCTGCCAATCATTCTGGACGAATGTCATGTGCAACTTTGCATCTATGCACAACCCGTACTTCCAATGAGATTTATTATTCATTGGGAGTTTCAGAAGAATAACTTGATTGGGGCTTTGGGGCGTGGGCACCGCGCACAATCTGCACCCACAAAACCGCACTCAATACTAGTAATATATTTAATCGTACGGCCTTTTTAGTAAGTATCAGTCATTATATTAAATGCAGTATCCGGCCCAGCGACTTCTGCCCAAAGAGTATCTCTGGTTGCTACAAGACCCACCTTGCACTTGAGAATGTCTGGCTGTGTCTCGACTGCTCAGCGTCAGGATTGAGAAAACGCCCGCCGGTCCGAATCGCGGCAACACGAAAGCGCCGCACTGACCTGGGGCATCGCGGAGGGCCACGCTGGCCGCCCAGTGGCAGCTCAGCTCAGCTGGTGTGCATTTGCAGCCGAGGGATCCGTCCCTCCAGAGAAGGGCTCGGGTGCGAACGGCTACACCTACTTCGTGACCTCTCACCTCGGAGGCCCCTTCTCCAAGCTCCCGGACGTCCGTCCAGAGCACATCAAAGCCGCCCGAAACCTGAAACGTTTTCTCGTCGGCCGCCTGGAATCCTCCGTGTCGAGCTACCCCCCCTTTCCAGGAAACGAAGCCAACTTCCTGAGAGCCCAGGCGAGCGCAGTGCTCTGCATGAGCTGACTGCACACGACGCGCGTGAACCTTGTCGAACTGTCGAACTGGGAGATTTCCTTCTGGAAGTCGAACTGGGAGATTTCCTTCTGTGCGAATGACCCTACACGTGGCTGCGACGTCCGCATCAACGCTGCGCTGTGCATTTCAGTCAAGAACGTGCATTTCTTTTCCTTTCTTTTGTTGTAGACGTTTCATCTGCGCACCTAAGTGAGTTTGCAAATTGGTTTGGATGAGCAGCCTGCTCGTCCAGCGCCTGGGCTCGGCATGCGGGGTTTGTTCCGTCGGTTTTTCGGTTCTCACGCTTCATCCCTTGTTCTACCAGATAGCGCGAATAGCCTCGACGACGGTGCTGTGCCCCTCCGGCTACTTCAACGTCGGAGAAGATGGCGAAATCGAGAGGAATGAGGAGTTTCAGAGTCCCGAATCCAGAGAAATGGGCAACGCTGCGAGTTGGTCGCACAGGTGCGTGCGGCGCTCTAGGGGTCTGGCAAGGGACGGCCCGGTTCTGGATGTACATGCGCCACGGGCAGCGGGGCCCAAGGGCCCTGCTTTGTGTTTTGAAAGCACGTTGAAGAAAGCAGTGGAGCGGTGGCCTTGGCGACGGCTGGCGACAGTCGCTTGTGCACGGCGCATTCAGATTCGCTCTGACTCAAAGCATTCCATGTGTTCAGGTTGGATCGCAATGGGGATGTCCTCAACATGGAAAGAATCTGGCTCCACATGCTCTGCCCGCAATGGTCTACAGGGAAAAGAGCATTGCCGTTCCCTGCGTGGGCGCATCGATATATGGCGCTCAAAGAAAGGGAAAGAGGAAAACATACCGAAAGCACATCTGTGGTGTTGTGGTGCAGGTACCCGCATTTAAAAAAGCAGGGCAGATGCCAGCTGCACGTCCGGGAGCCGCCAGAGGGGGAAGAGGAGGGATTCGAGCTCACAGAAGAAGAGCAGGAAGAGGGCCCCGAGGCACTGGCCACGCTGGAAAACGACGCGGACGTCGCTGGAGGACCGGCATGGAGCCCACTGTTCAGCTCATCCAACGAGAACGTGAAGTATCAGGTATGATTCACATCCGCCTTGTCTGCAACTGCCCCCGACGTAGACACGTGCCCATTGCACGCAGTTCTTACCCAAATATGATGTCAGCATTGTGCAGTCTTAGGTTGAATGGAACTCAACGCACTCGTGTTGTTTTAGATGGATTTAGACTTGAACGAAATGCTAAATTCTGCCTTCGGCCCTGTTCATCCATCCTGATTTTCATTCCATGATGTCCAACGATGCGGTGGGGGGTGGGATTGGGGGTATGTCAGCTGGAGAAAGCGTTTCCCGTGCACACCCGCTGAAAGCGATGCAAGCCAGTTTGTAGCCAAATCGCTATGTTTTGGCCCAAACGTTGATGGTCGTCCAAGCGCAGTCTAGGTGCAGGCTGGGCTCTGGCGACCATTCACGAGTCGGTCCGCGACCATTCATACGTCAAGCTGGGGGCAGAAGATATCGAGACTAATGAGGATATGAGGATATCAAGCGCCAGATTGACTCCGGTGAATGGCTATACTGTCTTTTGCATCCATTCATGGAAAACACCATTCCTGCGATGCCAACTGCGATATTAGTTTGGCACTGAGTGGCGCCATCACGGTGATTCCAATAGCATCGAATGGTGTGATGGCATGAATTAGTGTCAAATGAATCGCAGCTGGCATCGCAGAAATGGTGTTTTCTGTGAGCGATTGTGCTGCCGTTGCTGGTGCAAGTCGTGAGCAATGGGCCTCTATCCTAATGCGCATTGTGATTTGCTTCTGCTGCTTGATGCGCTGGCGTTGGTGCAGGTCGCCTGCGTTCGCAGCAATCTGTGGCCTGGGGCTGCGGCAGCGTGGGGCGGTGGCCGATTCTCCAACATATACGTCGGCTGGGGCATCAAGAACCATCCCTTCACGCCGTTGCCCCCGCCCCCCGTGTCCGCCGAATACGACCAGTCCCTGATGGAGTCCACGGAGCTGCCTCCAAAGCCGGGTGAAGAGGAGCCAGAAGAAGGGGACGAGGAAGGCTCTTAGCCAAACCATAAGCTGCAGTGACATGTTGCCCGGAGCCTGCAATTCATTACTCATTTAATCGTGAATTGACAATTCTATCTGCTCAAGAACATGGCTACTTCTACAGTGCCCGCCGCAGCTGGAGCCTCCTGAGGCCCTGTTGGGCTGATTTTGTGCGGCAGTCACGTGGCTGTTGCGATGCTTGGCCTGGAAGGCAGTCATCAGGTGTCTATATGTCAGATATGTCTTGGCGATCGACTGGGAATATTCAACGCGACCCAGTGGCGGGGATGCAGGGCAGGTAATCAGCCCTGAAGGCATGGGTGCACCCGGTAGTGGGACCCCATTGTGGTCTTGCTGTCGTTTGCACACCCGCCGTCCACCTCGCTGCGACCGGCGCCAGACCCATGTGCAGATGCTGAACTGCTGCGGTCATAGTAATGACGAGTGAGCAATGGGTGTTTGGGCATCAGGGCGACGGTGTGGGTTCGCCGTTGTCCAAGACTAACTTCGCAACAGTGTGCCTCCGCGTCGGTCAAATGCACCTCCAACATGCCTGCAGCCCGGAATCCCGGCCCCTGCCTGAGTCCACACTGCCCAGCTGGAGCCCAAAGAAGGGAAAAAAGAGGGCGAGCGAGTGCCGAGATGTATCTTGCAGACCGGAAAACATGCCGTACACTGTGGTGTGCCCAGCCTAGCAACGAGAAGCTGAGAGTGTGCGGTTGCATGTTCGTGTGCAAATCCCAGCAACACATTTGTTGACCTTCAACAAACATACCCAGACACCTGAGCTCCGGCCAAATCAAATCCGTATAACAGCACTTCGATGCAAGTGGGTATTTCTATCCATGGCCCTCTATGCGGCCATGCTGGCGGCCATGCCAGATTCAGGTTGGAGATCGAGGCCACCTATAATGCAGCGGCCCACGACCACTGCAAGCTTGCAACTGGAACGCTGGATCGACAAACAGCGCTGTCATCTACACATTGGCATGTGGGCCCCTACCCAGAACGTTCCAGAAAGATGCAGCCAAGAAAATCAGCAGTGAAGTGTGGGCCACTCCATGACAACTGCTGGGCGGACATGCCCGAGGCAGTCATCTGAGCAATTGGCGTACAGCCTCAAAGAAGGGACGCTCATCTTCAAGCACTGTTTCAGGCAAGTGCACCTCAAACGCTGTACATTAGCAGGGCATGTTCTGGCGCATTTGCCCAACCTCACCACCTAACCTCGGCCATGCTGAATGTAATCAGGGAGCAGCTCCAACCCGCCACTGGCATCAAGCCACCAGGGACCAAAATGGTGCTCAGTCATGACCCATGGGTCGTCATTGCCTGCACTATCCATCTTCTGCTTCCATTGCTGGGAGGCGCAGACCTGCAAACAGAGAGAACTCAGAAAACCCGAGCAGACAGAGCACAGTACGGAAGGCCTCGTTGGATTCAACCCCGAAGTCCATAACAGCAGAGACATTGGGCCAGAGACTGACCATGGTGGCAAGCAAGGACACCTTGGGAAGGACGCACTAGGGCGCATACCAGCTACAAACTCACCTCCAAACAGATTCCGCAAAAGCCTAATCTTCCACTGTGCGAGGTCAAGTGGGGTGAACAAAGGGGGTTATCGGCATCCCGCTTAACATCAGGAGTCGCACATACCTACTGTTACGCATCACAAGAAAGCATGAGTACATGTTAATGCCCATGGACAGAACGCTGGTCAGTGCTTTGGAATGTCGGGGCGCCTGCAAGGGAGCCCATTCTCTATCAAAGGCTGGGTGACCTATTCGCACAAATATTCTGTGCAACCAGTTCACACGACCATCAAAATGGAGCTTGTTGCCACACGTGACCCTGGGGATAATTGTCACCACTTTATCCATCTGAAAAGACACGCATAAGAACACAGCTACAACTGCTTCTGCAATTCCCTTGAAACTATGCCCAGAGGGGAGCAGATCAGATGAAATCTCATAGCAGCCCCAACATTACAGATGTTGGAGACTTGTACTTGACCAACAGCATATCACAATCCACATGATGAACTCCATATCGAGCATGGGTTCAGAGCAACTACAACGACATATCTTTACAATGGGCCAACACAAAAAATCGTCAACATTGGCAAAGGACCACCAGAAAACCACTGGCGTGTCTGCCAAGCCTCTTGCTCGAGTGACACAAAAAACTGATACATCACCCCATATAGCCGTCTCCACACTCCACATTGCAAGTGGGTGCTGGCACCTACTTGCACCTGGATATCATCATCCTGGTCAATGAGGGTTAAGCCTTTTCTCCCATGCTACAAGGCATATGTGCATGTAATGTGTGTGAATATGCATCTACAAATGTAGGCATTACTTCAAAACACAATTCTAGGAAAATCTGTGTCAATTTTGTGCTTCATGAACAAGCTTCGCATCTGCAACGCTAAGAAATCGTGCAGAAAAAGGCCAAAGCCTTGCCATTGTTTGGAATGTGGAGAACCACGCAGTTGTCTTACACTGCCATGGAGTACCTGCTCATTGCATGTAGCTCCTTGGTGGCTTCGCACTCTGTCCGTCTTCACAGCCTGAAGCAACAGATCGCGGCTTGTGTGACATAATACATCTCAAATCTGACTCACAAACCATTGCAAAATGACAGACGGGCAGCAAATAGCACATACAGCACGCACTGTATCGTTGATGCACGTATTTCATATACTTCACATAGAAGGTACCACATCAGGGAAAAAGGAAACCCTACAAGGTCTGCACACCAGCCTCTTCTGCCAGTGGCAAGATCTTTTGCAACCAATGAGCAGAAAGATCAAGCGAGGTCGAAATGCAAGGAGCGGAAGGATCAAAGTCAGCACTGGGCAACCAGGCACTGAGCATTCCAAGTATTCATCAGAGAGTGGCAGCCTTCACGGATAATGGAAATCGTCAATAATGGGCACCAGTTTCTTTTCTCCTCAAAACTGCTATTTGCAGCTGTTATAGACAGCCATTCAGACAAAACGTACTGGTCACTCATTTGTACTCCTTGCCCATAGTCGCCAAAGGCTAGGTCATGATAATGGAATTTTCAGCATCCGAAATCGAGGTGCCCACAATTCAGAAGCACAGGATGCAGCATTTAAAAACTGTAGGCCAGCGTTGAGCATGTGCAAAGGGGTTGGGAGCTTCTCGGATTGGCATCCACAAGCGCTCCCCTTTTGTCTCAACCAACCAACACTAATCATGAATCACCTGTCCAAATCTCTTTTCCTTCGCTCCTCAGCTGCTCTACGCTGTGCCTCCTCGACCTTGCAGTTGAAGGGCACAAAATTCTTAAAAATGTCCGACAAAATACCAGACAGCAAAGTTTACCACAGGAAAACTTATTCGCATGGTTGCCAATCCCACACGACCAAGCTCAACATTCAACCACGGAAAATCAAATGAGAGTTGTGAAATGGAAAGAAAAGAAAATTGTGTTTCTTATGCTGCAATATCTGTGCAAAATTCAAATCACGACTGGCATGTTTGGCTTGTCAATGTATCAGGCAGAACAGTTCATACTCGGGGATGTGGCCTACACTGACAATCTGCCAACTTTAAATAGCCTGTGTGCTACAAGAAAGGTATCAAAAGCCACCAGAACATTGTCCTCCCAAAGTAAGAGAATATGCGTTGGCACAAGGCAAAATTGCAAGTCTAAATCCACAAGAAGGTTCCCATGCTGAGGCTGAGGCAATGATTTCAGCCATTCTTTTACCACCCAGGCACACAAGAAATCCTGCAGGACCAGTGGGTACCCATATTGCACTTACCTTCTGTCTATTCTGTTCCAGGATCGCCTCCAACTCCTCCTGCTTTCTTTTCTGCTCCTCTTGCTCCCTTCTTTTCTTGTCCAACAGCAACCTCCTTTCTTCTTCCAGCTGTGTTGTGACCTTCTCCTCCAATTTTGCGCGCTCCTCCCGCAATCTTGCCTGAACACAACATAGGCATGGACAGACAAATTGATCAAGCGAATGGCCTATCATCATGGCGCAGAACGAGAGTGCAGCACAAAGGCACACAGCACACAGGCAACATTCCCATAAGTGGTGGTGACATTGACAGTGCAGCTCAAAGCCTCAGCAAGGTGTACAAGAAGCTGGTCGTTCTCAGTGTGCCAAAAAGCACCTGACAACTAAGCAACCACGCATGCAAGCAGGGAAACCGCGAGCTCCATAATACGATGTTCTGACCTACAGAACTTCAAAGATGTGTTCATGGAAACCACCACTTCAACACACCAGCCCCACATCCTTGTAACGGACCCAAACATTTTGCACCTTTCACGATTTAGACGTAGAGAATCAGTAGTTTCAAGCCTTGCATATTGTCAAGTACCTCGATTTTCTTCTGAACACCCGCCGATGCCATGAGCTCATCTACCCTGCTCCGTATCGCTTCTTCCACGCGTTTGAGGGTCTCATCCTCCAGCTGTGACAGCTGTAGCCGCTTTTCAGATCTTCTATAGCATAAGAACAGTAAGCTGTGTGAATCACCAGAACCGAACATCCAAGCTTATATTCCGAAGCCTAGCATCCGCTTTATTGGGCTGATGGTCATTAGCAGAAGAGAAAGCCACATTGAGCAAGCATACCCTGGCTCGACTGAGTTGGCACCTGCCATTGCCTCCAATGTGCAATGGCTTTGCTCGTCACAGGTTCTCTACAACTGTCATGGATGCATCACACCAGACCACCAGGCACACCTTACACTATGTTGCAGCTGCATTGGCAAAGGTTGTTCAAACTGTGGCATGCACAGGCTGGGAGTGTGTTCATATGAGTTCACATGGGTAAAGCTTTTGGGTTCCCTCATCCAATTGACAGTGGGAAGTGCAGACAACTACCCAGATTTCTCCTTTTTCGCCTGAGACCCCTTGGTCCTGTATCTCCTGTGCACAGACAAGCCACGTTTACCACAGGCAAGATACAATCACGTGGCAGCTCCCTCCACAAAGGAAACAGGGCTCATCACCACCTCAATCGATAAATTCCGAGATTGCTGCTGTCTGCTCATTCGTCCACATTGCTTCTCAAACGTCCCCACGTGCAAGAAAGATGTCACAGTAAAAGCCCACCACTCTCCATCTCCCCAACATGTCCAAAAAATCTGAAATTCAACACATTGTCATCACTTCCTTGCACGTGAGCGGGCATCACCACACACAATCCCACTCCATTGCATTGGCATTTGAAAGTATCAGAAGCCACTCCGCTTGATACTTCAAGGCGACTCCGGACCCACCCATTCTGGCCCACTTTGCCTCAGCATCACCTTTTACCACAGATTGTTGCGCTGCAAACGAGTGGCGACCGGATAAAACGAACACACGAGCGAACAGAAATTCGTTTTGGCTGCGCACGCGCCCGTCCTCGAATGCAAGGTGCAAGCCCCGGTGCGCCTTCTGATCGCGACTATGACACAGGGAACTTAGCCGGACAGTGAAAACTCGATGCATCCACAGTCTTCCAAGCAGCCTGCCTTCCGCCCACCTGTTCGCATGGACTTTCAACGCCCTGGCGTCCTCCCGGCTGGCCCTTCTCCTTGGGGACCGCGGCCGATGGCGGCCGCCATCGGAATCGCCATCGGAAGAGGCGGACGGAGACGGCTGCCGTCGGGACCTAGGATGAGCGGCCCAAAGCAAGCAGGCAGCCTCGTCGACGTTGATTTTGGTAAAGGTGTTTATTGTCGCCATGGCCGTGGACAGGTCGCTATTTGTGCGACGTTTGGCAAAGGACATCCGCATGGGGTCCGCTGATTGCCCAACGGATCGCCCGCTCACCTCCTTCGAGACGACGACCTGCTCCTCTGCCTGTGTTTGCGCCTGTCGGGGCTGCGCGGCATCTCCCTGCGCTGCGCGCCCGGTGCCTGCTGGAGGCTGCGGAAACGTGGTGCGGAGAAATGAAAATTTGGTGCCACGCACAAAATGCACAGGGTGAGATTTGAACTCACGCGGACTTACGTCCATCAGAACTTGAGTCTGACGCCTTAACCACTCGGCCACCTGTGCTCACACAGGAAGTTCTCGTTTTCCATCCCACAATGGATGTTATATATATGCAAACTTTTCCGCGTACCCTGCCACCGCACCACGACCACTCACAATATTTGATATATTTTGGGCGCAGTTTTTCATTATATCGGTTTCGCCTTCATTCCTTCCCGCTTGGCCTCCGTTACGTTTAAAGCCCCGCCTTGCCACTTGTCGCTTCACCAACAATGCAAATGAAGACAACCGTGACATGTCAACTGAGACAAGTGCCTCCTCAACCAACTCCACGCCATCAAGTTGTGGCCACCCCCAACGAAAACCCGTGGCGTCCTGATACATGCAACAACCGTCAAGTTTGCTCCAGCATCAACAGTTCGGCGCAATTATTGGCCCTGCGCACTGCAAATGATCGTGCACCACAGCAAGTGCACCACAGCAAAGAAGGCAGCTATCGCGAGTTGCTCTCTGGCCTTCAATTGAGTGGGAGCAACCAACCAAGCATGGCAGTGTGGCGCAAACTCGCAAGAAGGCAGCCGCAAACAGATGAAAGCTATCACTTCTGCAGCCACCAAGCTTGAAAAAGACGGGATCAACAGGGTGTAATCATATAGACAAGAGGATGGCTGCCAGGTCATGACGAACTCGGCCCCAATGCCCTTGAAACCCACCGTGTAGTTCACCACATATATTTTCAAGTCGCACAACTTTGCCAGCACTTCGTGTCCATCATCAGTGCGACCACTGCATCCACTGACAAACAACATATCGTGTCCACTGTGGTGCATTCGGGGGATAGGACTTGTGCTGCCCTGCTGGAGCGGCGTCCCACAGGTGGTTACCACGGAAACGGTGACACAATAAAAAAAGGAAAAAAATGTCAAGAGCAGTCGTTTTCATGTGTGCGCCTCAACCTAAACCTGCGCAGCGACCTAATAGGTTATGCGCTCACGCATCGACCTCAACCTAGTCTGTGCCCCGCTCCCGTCAAGGCTGCCCACCCAAGGCGCCATTCTGAATCGCGTCCGAGACCTCGAAAGCAAGGAGCCAGAGGCCCTCCAGGTGCTGTCCGACCGGCTGACTGTCGGCGGTCCGAAGTCTATCCGCTGGAAACTTCAGTTGCACCTCCTCATAGCTCTCTGCTTTGGTGAAACGCATGGCTGCCGGGCGCGACAGCATGCGCTTTTTGACCCACTCCACCCGCACCTCTGACAAAATTCCCGGGGAATCTGCACATCCATACACATTGCGTTCCTCCATCGTCAGGGAGCACGCCTCTCCATTCTCCATGAGCTCCGATTTCACGGACGGCATCTGCTCGTCCGGGCTCAACAGCCCTGCTGGCCTCGAGGGCAACAGGGCGTCCTCGAGCCCCTTGGCTGTGGCCTGCTTAGTTGCACCATCCCTTGGCATACTGGTCGTGAGGAGGAACCGAATGTCACACTCACTGCCTGTGTTGCGGCCGGTCCTCGACTTGGGCTGACGCTGCCTTTTCACTGCCGTCACCAACCACCTAAGGCCGTCATCCTCCACGTGCGCCAGGTGCAAATTCTCATCATACTGTGCAGATTCGCTGTTCGTGCCTCTCGCTACCACCAGCCTGTACGTCTTGGTCGTCGCCTCGACCTCTGTTAGACCATTTCGGCTCATCCACTCACGAAGGCTTGAACCGTCACCAACGACCATAGGGAAAAATGCAAAGGAAGTACGGCCTTGTCCCTCCCCGTATTTCGAGTCCCGGACGTCAACGTGCCTGCGTGTGGATTCACGCCGCCCATACACTGCCTCCTGCCAAACAGGATTCACGTATTTCCCGTGCTCCTCCATTGCTGCGAGCACCTCGCTCAAACGTCCACGCTCTTCGTCCAGAAGCACTTGAGGGGGAGAAATCACGTAAGACAATCCGAATTGGATCCTCAGCTCACACTCGCCGTGCGTCCGCGCCTCAAATGACCTCTCAAGCGCTACCAGCTGGGCCCTGAAATGCTCCAGGAACTCGTGGAAATTCCTGTCTAAGCTTCCAGAAGGCGCTTTGGGGCACAGCGACTTGCTGATCCGTACTGTGACCTTGGACAAATAGTCGTGCTGCGGATGGCAATGGCCGCGATAGACCTCCAGGTCAATCTTATCACCAGGGCTGTCAGCCCCTTCCAACAAATAGAGGTAACAGTTGGGCACCGCGCTTGCCCTCCTTGCAAAGTGGGCTTTGTTCCTCTCATCATTTGCACACAACTCATTCAATGTCCTCACAGCTCGTTCTGCTTCCCACAGGGCTATGCCCGTTCCCTGTACCTTGACGACGAGACCAGGCGTTTTGCCACTCACCCTGGGGTGCACAACCACAGCTTTGGCTCCGAAGGCTCGCTTCAGCATTGCACCAAACTGGGCCTCATGTCCAATGATGGTGTGTGCAGCCTTCATGTCAACAAAGAACAGTTTCTCCACAACCTCTACTCTCAACAGCACTGAGGCGTCAGCATGCAGCGACAGGCTGTGATAGGCCCTATCCATTTCGTCAAGGAGGATACCTGCTGCCCTGCTCCCAAGCAATTGCTGGAACGAGACATGCCCTTCATCGAACAGAACCCCGAGAAATGCCATGTCAATGTGGCCTTCCAGGTGCTCGCGGCTGTGGCGAAAGAAGCGCAGCAGCAGCTTGCCCATCTGTTCTCGTCCAACTTTTTCCCCACCCTTCCCAACAGTGTCTAACAGCTGATGTAGACCTACGAACAAGTCAACATCTTCACCCGCAGTAGCCCGTTCATACAGCTCGACCACCTCCGAACCATCAACTGCTTGGATTTCGTCATTCTTGAGGCACATGTTGATGAACATGAAGGGCACCAAGTGCGGCTCACAGTGAGGGCGTTCAGGCCTGCCGCTTCCAATGTGCTTTCGCACACGTCCAACTAGCAACGTGCACTTCATCCAAGCCACCAGCAGTCGAAGCACTGGTAGCAATTCGGGGTATTCGCTGATGTAACGTGCCAGAAGACTCCATTTCTTCAGATTGCCAGAGAGCGTGGTGATCTGGCACACAGTACACTTCGAAGCAGCCCCATGCACAGAAAATTTCAGCAGTTCAAGGCCAGTATGATCTGGTATTCGTATTGGAGCCAGATGGCTACACTTGCTGAGTTCGAAATTCACACTTTCAATCATCTTCTTCCTGGAACCAGCTTCCTCCCTGCGCCTTGGCAGAATAGCAAACTCCAGAGCATCTTGCTCTCCAGACAGCAAGGCAGCAGACAGCCCAGTCATGAAGGTGAGACCAATTGGCCAGATGCACTCTCTGATGGTTTGCAAAATAGCACAGAGCGATTTCCACTTCCTGCGTATCATGCCAAGCTGTTCCTTGTGCATGCCCTCAATGCTGTTGGCAATGATCGTTGCTACGGACTGCATGGGACTCCACTTGCCGTGTTCCATGTTCCTGACATAGATCTTTGCCAAGAGGTCCCCAACTATCCACGGAAAGCTCAAGAACCTCATAGAAGGCAGCTCATGGATGTTTCCATTACTATCTGCATTCCGCAAAGAGCCATCATCAGGAAGGTAGGTTTCGGCATTCTTATCCCCATACGTCACAAAGTACCATGCACTTGCCTTCTGCAACTGTGCTTCCTCATTGTTGGCCACATCCTTTTCAAATTCTTGTCTGTATTGGCGAATGAGCTTCTGTCGAATGACCTTGATTGCCTCCTTGACTTCATCCACCTCCTTGTCGTGCACCTTTTCGTGCAGCCTATCGATGTACCCGCTCATCAGCTCCGCCTCTGTCCTTACTCCATACATCTTCATTATGCGGTCCAGCTTGCTGTTGTATTCAGCACGAGTGTATGCAGCCTTTTGCTGAAATGTTTCAAAACCACTCACGTGGAACATTTTTTGTGGCTCCACAGCTGCGTGGTGGTCATGGTGCATACACAAGTCGCTTCAGATGCAGAGTTTCATTGCGAAACCACAGAAACATGATGACAGGCACCCACGTGTCCTGGCCTCAGTGGGCAGCTCCACGAGACAGTGGATGCATCGAACACCAGATGTTAAAATGCCACCCAAGGCAGCCAAGATATGACATCAGCGCAGGGAAAAGGCCATGAGCCAGCATCAATATAGCTACTGTTCACGTGGATTCAGCATCGGGGCACAGTAAAGGCCCGCTATGCTATGGGCAGGGCAACTAACTCCTTAGTTGATGCTGTGCTGAAGCACAAACCGTCAACTTCACTCAGTCCAACAGCACTGCTGCAATGAACTGCAGGCAAATACATACGCTGGGACACAACTGAATGAGTAAGAAGCTTAGCTTGAGGCAATGGCTGTTACAACAGGCTACAAGTACATTGTGGCCACAGGCCACACAAGCAAAAGTATGCACATGTCACGGATGCCACGTGACAAGTAGCATTCCCTGTATGCACTGTATGGTGCGCTATAAAAGGCTGCTCACTTTAGGGCCAAACGGCCAATAACGCCAGCAATAACAAGTGGGTAAGGAGCACCTCAATACATGGCCCCATGCAGTTGTAACAACCTCTCACAGATACTATGCCCTGCTGGGCAGACAAAAATGCCCCATTATTCACCCAAGTGCCTTTTGACACTGTATGCTACCAGGCAACTACCATGCCTAATATTGGACTGCGCCTAATGCATCGACTGTATTAGAAGTTTAACACACCAAAGAAAACATTGGTCTATTGTTTGTATGTGTGCTGAAGGTACTAACATTTACAGAGGCATAATTGAAATTCATAACCTCAAACTGGCAGCCAACCTCTTAAGGGCCAAACTAGCAGCAAGGGCTGATGAAATAGTGTTGACAAATGGTGACCATGAAGAGCTGTTGAAG